TAATTGTGGATATTCTAATGGAACTTTCGGGTAGGCAGTTGTCTGTTCTCAGTTCTTTGTGTGCTCTTGGCCTAAGAATGATCACACACCAAAGGCAAGGCAAGCGTGAGTCGAAGTTTCCTGGGCAAAGGCAAGATAGGTGTACAGAGCTTGATGGAGGTTCACAGAGCAGAAGCAAGATACGTTCACCGCAGATGGCGAAGGAGCCCCCTGGCATAACAAGAGGCTCTGGTAATGGTCCGGGGTCTTGTTTTATAGTGTCTGGATGGGGCCCTCCTAGTGGTTCAGACAGCACCACTGAACCACTTTGCACAGTTAACCACATGACAATTAGCCTTAGGTTACTCTAGGTCACTTTTCAAGTCCTGCTGTGCCTGGGCTGCCAGGCTGGGCTGGGGAATTCCCTGCATTCCTTTGCAAACGGGCAGGGTTCCTCTCTCTTCCCAGGTGTGGCACTTGCTCAGGGCAGGATTAAGGTGGAGCAGCACCAGGATGGGCCCTGCCTTTGTCTTCCTTCCCCAGGTGGAGCAATCGCTCAAAGCAGCACCCAGGTGAGGCACCGCTTTTGTCCCTAGGAGAGGTGGAGGTCCCTTGCTATCTACCTAACGGAACCAGCGAGAAATTCAGGCCTCTCTTCTTCTGACTGAATATCATGTGATGTCTTTCACTTTGTTCTTCCATTAAAGGCAAAGTATGTGCTATAAAATCAAAGTTCACATTCTGCGGCTGGCTTTCAAGACAGTTGAGCCAACTGTACACTATCTTTTCCACGTTTTTCTTTTAAACTGCTTCAGAGCTTGCTCTTCCCTTTTATACCCTTCTCAGGGTTGTCAGTGTGTCCAGGGGCTGAGCTGCTGGAGGTGTCTCCTCAGAGGCAGTGACAAGCTGAGAGGTTGGTTACACAGACTAAATAAGTAAATTGGGCAAATAAGGAAATCTACAGAGGATAAGGGGAGCCAGGTTGGAGACAGGACCAGAAGAGAAAGAGGAAGGATGGAAAGAACCCTAAGGTATTGGACTATGATTAGAAGTATAGCGTGAATGCGTTTTTAAATATAGAAGTAAATGTACACAGATATATATATTCAGATATAACTATATGTGTGTGGAGGTATGTATTTGTATATATACAAACAAATCCTAGCTCTATCAGCTGTGCAGGGCTAGAAATAATAACATCCCAGTAGCAATGATGAAAAGGAACCAGGAAATGGCTGATTCTAGGGATGGGACAGGAACAAGGTGAGCCTGGAATATCTTCTTGTGCCAGAAAATAAGGAGATACTTAAAGAATGATGGGGGCATGGGCCAGGCATGGCGGCCCACGCCTGTGATGCGAGCTCTCTGGGAGGCCAAGGCAGAAGGATTGCTTGAACCTAGGAGTTTGAGGTTGCTGTGAGCTAGGCTGACACGATGGCACGCTAACCTGGGCAACAGAGTGAGAATCTGTCTCAAAAAAAGAAAAAAAAGAATGATGGGGACATGTCGAAAGGACACGGGGACCACCTTGAAGGAGATCCTATTGGCTAAATCTGGAACAATCTACACATCAAAATAAACATGATAGTACCAGATTTCAACCTATTAAATAAAATTTGAATTCACATTGCTAAATATATGAATAAACAACTAAATAAATAGAGGAGTAAATGAAAGCTCTTTCTTACAGTAAAATGCCAAGTTACAAATATAAAAGGGATGACAGAAAGAGAAAACCACCATATAACACCATTTTGGTGATGACTGACTCAGATAAGGATTGTCCATGAAGAGTAAGGCTAAGGGGTGGAAGTTGATAAGAACCAATTTATCAGTCATAAAGGGGGAAATGGCGATTGTATGGAGGAGAAATCTGGAAGACACCCAACGACCAGGCGACTGGCAGCAGCGGGACAGGACAGCAGCCCATGCTGGAACGTGCAGAGCACACGTCCTGTCCACGGCGCTCCCATCGAGGATGCACGGGAGGGCTCGCCAAAGTGAAACCCAGATGGACCCAGGTCTAGGGGCACCCTGCACATGAACGGCCTGCACTCTTTGAAACTGAAGCATGTGGAAGGCAGGGAAAGTTTGAGAAATTATTCCCCACTAAAGGAAACCACCTTCCTCCAACATGGACATGGTGGCAACTAAAAGCAACGCGAGTTCCCAGATGGAATCCTGGACTAGAAAGGGGCCTGAGCTGGCAACATCTGCACGGGTCTGCCGGTTGGGCGGCAGCGCTGTGCCAGGGCCGATGTCCTCCTCGGAGGGTTTGCCTTCGTTTTCTGCACTGCCGTAACAGACTACCACAAACTGGGTGTCTCGAAGCAACAGAAATGTATCCTCTTGCAGTTCGGGAGTCCAGAAGTCCGAATTCAAGGTGTCGGCCAGTAGGGTTGGTTCCTTCTGGAGACTCTGAGGGACAAAGTACCCCAGGACTCTCTTCTAGCCTCTGGAGGATGTTGGCCAACTATTGGGGTGCCTGCATTTGTGGCCTCATAACTCTAATCTCTGCTCCATCTTCACTTGCCCTTCTCTGTGTGTCTCTGTGTCTCTCCTTGTCCTCTCCTCTTCTTAAGGACATCAGCCTATTGGATTTAGAGCCCACCATAAACCCAGGATGAACTCAACTGAGATCTTTAATTACATCTGCAAAGACTCTATTTCAAAATGAAGTCACACTCTGAGGTTTCGGATGGACGTGACTTTTGGAGGGACACTATTTAACTCATCACAAGGTTGCGTCCAAAAACACAGCCTGGAGTGTTTGGATGGATCGGGCATTATGATTGTAACTTGCTTGCAAATGGTTCACAAAATGATCGTGGGGGAGTCAAGAGTTTTCCGCGTACTGTCAAAAGAAAAAACGACACAAATTTAGTTTAAAGGTATTAGTTGGCTTTTAAGTACAATTCTAGAATCAGGCAACACGTCGTTGTATAATATAGAATGAGTGCTCCAATGAGCTGAGCAGAGGAGTTTGGCTTTATAGACAGAAAAGGCCTGAGGAGAGCAGAAACAGAACATAAGAAGTGGGTTGGTCGTTACAAAGTTACTTTCTTCGTAAATGTGGAAGGAGAGGGAGCTTCCTTCCTTCTCCTGATGTCTCAGAAGGTCAGAAAAACGACTTAGTTTGGGTCGGTGATGTGGAACTTCAGCGCGAGTGACTCCATTTTGGTCTGGTCTGTGGGGCCGCGCGGGAGCTCAGTCGGGCGATGGCCTCCTATGGATCTTATTTAACAGTACAGTTCTTGCAACTGCTCTATACACGTAAAGTTATTTTGAAATAAATAATTTACTTTTTTTTTAATTTTGAAATTATTTGAAGGTTTTCATGAGGAAATAGGAGAGAATAAGATGAGATTCCAGATGTTTGCCTTCCACGGGACCTGCCACCGTCCTCAGAGATTAGCGCCCCCCCGTCCTCGACTGAGCAGGAGCGAGGGTGAACACCCCGTGCTCTCGCCTTGATGCCTGTCCTGTCTCACGGTTCTTCAGGAGGATCCAATGTGGATCCGGGGTGGACGAGATACATCTTCAGAAGGGGTGGATTTAGAATTTGGTCATGGCCGTGAGAGGCTTTGTTCGAGCCAGCTGCAGGATTCGGAGTGGCGGGTCTGGTCCGGGTCACAGAGCTCGGAGCCCAGGGCTGGCTCCCAGGGCCAGGCCTGGCAGCCCTGGGGAAGCCCGCGGCCCGCCCGGTGCCCGCCCCGGCTCAGGGCTGCTTATTGCTGGACGCGCCACACGCCTTCAGGATTCCATTTTCAAATCTGACTTTCGACTTACGTTTAGCCTTATCATTCTTGCTTTGTCTTTCCTGGTCTTCTCCTCTTTTTATTCCTCTAAAAGAAGGAAACATGCAATTCCTTTTTGCCTATTACGTCCATTTCTAATCTCAATCTAAAATCTGTCTTCCCATGTTTTTAAACCTTCCAATTTAGCTAATAAATTTTAAAAAGAGTTTCACCTTTTATTTCTTCTACTTTAAATCTCAGACACTTTATCGTTTATTTTCCATTAATTATCAGATTTAGTGGGTTATTTATTTTTTTAGATTTCACTCTGCTTTAATTGGGTTTTTCTTACATTTAATTTTTACCTTTAATCTTCCCCCAAATTCCCATAGTCCCTTCATTTGCTGACTCTAATTTTCTTTCTTTCCATTTTATTCCTCCTCTGATTGGCTTTGACAATGGCTGCAAAGAAGCGTAGTCCCAGGGGCGGTAGGAGTTCAGAGCTGATGACACAAGAAGAGGTTTTCTTCTCGGGCCGTGTCCAAAGCCGCCAGTCTGGCTCCCACAGCGGCTCCAAAGCATATCGAATGATGCCCTAAGAATTGTCACCCTGCAATTGAAGACTTCATCTGTTCTAGGGCTATAATTCTCCCTGAAATATTGTTTATATCGCATACAATCCCAGCCTTTGTGTTTTAAAATCGGTGGTCTTCAATATCTAGCGAAATTTTGTTAAGCAAACCACGTTGGTGACAGGTCATAAGTCACGAGCCAGAGGACGTAGCCAAGGAGGTCACAGCAGCCTGGCGTGGCCTCAGTTGACCCACCTGCCCTGAATCTTGGAGGGGGTTTCTGACAGTCGTCAGGCCTAAGGCAAGACTGGTTTTCCTTTCTGTCTCCACTCTGCTTACTCCCCACTTGCAACACTGGCGGACTGTAAAAGGATGCGGATGGGTGGCTCTCTTGGGCGTCCTTCCCTCCTTACGACAGTCCTGGGAAAACCGGCCAATATGGAGATTATTCTGAATGTATTTTTAAAATAACTACAAGAAGAAAATACAGATAGGTGGGGCTCAGTGTCTCACACCTGTAATCCCTGCACTTTGGGAGGCTGAGGTGGGAGGATTGCTCAAGGCCAGGAGTTCAAGACCAGCCTGGGCAACAGAGCAAGATCCCATCTCGGAAAAATAAAGACAGAAAGAAAATTTCCCTTTCCCAACTTTGTATTCCACCCCTGTGTTAAAAATGTACCCAGGATTTGTTTTAATCAGGTATGGCAAGACAGCAGACATGGAAATGACCGTCACGAAGGAAGAAGTTTATACTCACAGAGCCTAGAAACGGGAGGCACGGTGCACCATGCAGGGCCAGTAAGGAAGGACCAGGGGGGGTCGGGAGTCAGAAAAAGAGGGGGAGCATGGCCCAGAGCCTTTAACTGGGGTTTTCTCAGGAAGGAAAGAGTGAGGCAGGATAAGTATGCTAAATATGTGTTGGATTGGATAGTTTGAATAATTTCATCAGGCTCAGGGCTATAGGGGTGGTCCTCAGTTTACCAGTAACTGACCTTGGGTGATTGAGGGTAGGGGGATTATTGGCTTGATGTTTGAGAATTTTATTTTTAGAGATGAGGGTCTCAGTATTGTTGCCCAGGCTGGAATGCAGATTCAAACATTGCACATTACAGCCTCCCACTCCTGGGCTTAAGTGATCCTCCCGTCTCAGCCAGCTCCAGAGCAGCTGGAGCTACAAGTGCACACCACCGCGTCTGGCTGAGAGTCTGACAAAGAAGATGGCTTGCAGCGGGGCTCTGGCTTGCACAGGTATATCGAATGCATGTTCACAGGACGGTTATTTGCCATCCCTAGGAATTATCTAGCCCTGGGAGTCTCTCCAGGATTAAGGCCCCAAATGCCAGGCCATCAAGAGTAAGAAAAAACAGTCAATACGCCCCCAACGTCCCTCCCTACCCCCACTCCGTGATGCGGGATCTCAGCACCAGCTCCGAGTGTCCTCTGCTGGCTCCCGCAGGGGGTGCTGGTGGCCCGCAGCTCCCTCTGTGTGGCGTCCTTTTTCTCCCGGCCAGGTCTGGCACTGGCCCAGGTGGGTCACAGAACGCAGGTCATGGCCAGGAGGGCAGGTAGGGGCAGACGCTGAGGAGGGCGCCTCTGCCTTGGGGACACAGCCACGGCACTGTGTTCAAGCGAGTGGGGTGGGCGCCGGCCCTGACATGGGCGAGGAAACCAGTCACTCGGGCTCAGGGCGTTCTGGGGAATTGGAATTTTCAAACCCATCAACCCAAATGTCCCAACTTCCTATCTCCAGATTCCATTTTTTTTTTTTCTAATCAGAGCCCTGACCTGGGCAGAGCAGACTTATCTACGCTGAAAATTCACTGAAAATTCAATCCTTTCTAGAATTCTGCTACTCTTACGATCACGGATCCTCAGCTTTTTCTGCCCTCTGGCTACTGCAGAATGGGATTCTGTCCTATGCCACCAAGCTCTCTGCTTTTCACACCTAGCTTGTAAGTTTTCAAAGCATCAACTGCCCCTTGGGACAGTCATCCAATTCCATCGTCCTTCTATCCCCCCACACCCCATATTTCTCAAATGCCTACTACATTTCACCGCTACTGTATTTCCTTCCACTCATTTGCCATCCAAGGTCACTACTGGCAAAAGTTTTACCAGACGCGTTGCCACGTTCCACGGGGGCTAAGCTGTGTCCCACCTACCAGCAGTTACGAAGTCCTCATTGCCAGCCGGAACCGCAGGTGATTCAGCTACAGAATCCCGTTTTAGCATCTGCTTTTGTGGACTATTCCTGTTATCACCAGTGATGGGTTGATTCCCTGGAAAACAGACTCTGAGATGGAGATTAGCATGTAGGAAGGTTATTAGAGTGCTGTTGGGATTAACAGCCCTGGAGAAAGGGCAGGGAGTGATCAGAATGAGAAGTTGGACTGTGCTGTGGTCTCAACAAAAGCCTCAGCTGACCCCATGGGGACTTCTGATACTGCGATGGCCCTTCAGAGTCGTCACAATTTGGGACGAGTCCTCTGAGCCTTTATACCCCTGCAATGAGCAGTCATTGGATACAGGCTGCCCCAGGAAGAGGACGTGACCTTAGGCAAGGGGATCTACGCAGCCAAGGTCAGTTTCTGGAGAGGGCGGGCAGCTGAAGGCTCTCAGCCAGCCGCGCTCCCAGAGCCCAGGTCAGCAGGTGATGTGGACAGTGCACCATACCATCCCACACCTTGCAATCTGGACATGATTTATCTTGGCGTGCTCATGCCCCCATCAAGATGCATGCTGTCTGCTTGGACATATGGTCTCTCTTTTATGATTATTTAACTTGTATTTCCATTGCATCTTCCATGGCAGAATTATTTCACTTAAGAACCTTAAATACCAGGATTTGTGGTGGACCCAGAAGACAAGGAATGGGAATGAAAACATCATTTCCCCACGGGTCATGTGTTTAGAAACAAATGTTCTAACCTAGATGGAATATTTATCACACTTATTTAGAAATAGAACCTGGAAGTTCAGGATACAGAAGGTTGACTGTTTTGATTAGAAGTACTTGAGAACAATTTTTGGAAAATGCTACCCACTAGGAATCTGGAAGAACAATGTGACACATTAAGTTTACATTTCGCCTTTGTAGATATGCTAATCGCTTGATAAGTTAGTTACCATTTGAGGTTCTGAAAGTAGGTAAAAAGTGAATGAGCCTGGCAGGGTGCTGTGTGTCTGTAGTCCCAACTGCTCAGGAGGCTGAGGCTGGACGTTCACTTGAGCTCAGGAGTTAAGGCTGTAATGTTCTTTGATCGCACCTGCACTCCAGCCTGGGCAACCTAGCAAGACCCCATCTCTTAAGAAAAAAAAGTGAATGAAACCACCCTTCGACCATTCTGGTTCAGTTCTTAGAAGAGTTTTATGGGGAGGGGTAGCTCCTTTGCACAGAGGGAATATATTAAAAAGCATTGCTCACAGAAAGTCTTTGCCACGAAGGAATCTGGTGTATGTTTTCCTAGCCCCTGATCAGAGTGTCCAGGTTGCTCAGTTTCATTTGAGCCAGGCCAACATAGATGTGAATAAAAATAAACTGTCTCAAAGTTCGGCCTAAACCCATGGGCTATGAGGCTGTAGGGCGTCATTTTGACTCCCAAGACCGAAACGATGTGTGTATGGTAGCCATGGTACATTTATGGTCTACGGAGATTCCAGCACCTGCAGTAGGTTGATGTTCCACAGGGCTCAGGGGCAGATAACATCAGCCTTGGGTAGGAAAGAGGAGGCCTGAGTTTGTGGTTTGGGGTTTGTTTGTTTTTTGTTTTTTTTCATTTTGCTTTTAAATCCTAAGAAAAATAAATCAATCTTCAATTAAATTTTATTATCAATACAGCAGTATAATAATCTGTGCTTGTTATTTCCTTCACTCCCAATGTTCTTAACAATAAAAGGACATTGGTTTTTTTTTTTTTTTTTTGAGACAGGTAGTCTCCACTTTGTATCCAGGCTAGAGTGAGTGCCATGGCGTCAGCCTAGCTCACAGCAACCTCAAACTTCTGGGCTCAAGCGATCCTCTTGCCTCAGCCTCCCGAGTAGCTGGGACTACAGGCATGCACCACCATGCCAGCTAATTTTTGTACATATTGTTTAGTTGGCCAATTAATTTCTTTCCATTTATGTAGAGACGGTCTCGCTCTTGCTCAGGCTGGGTTCGAACTCCTTGACCTCGAGCAATCCTCCCACCTCGGCCTCCCAGAGTGCTAGGATTACAGACGTGAGCCACCGCGCCCGTCCAAGACATTGGTTTTTTTTTTTTTTTTTGAGACAGAGTCTCACTTTGTTGTCCAGGCTAGAGTGAGTCCGTGGCGTCAGCCTAGCTCACAGCAACCTCAGACTCCTGGGCTACAGCGATCCCTTCTGTCTCAGCCTCCCAAGTAGCTGGACTACAGGCATGCACCACCATGCCCCGGCTAATTTTTTCTATATGTATTAGTTGGCCAATTAGTTTCTTTCTATTTATAGTAGAGACGGGGTCTCGCTCTTGCTCAGGCTGGTTTTGAACTCCCGACCTCGAGCAATCCGCCGCTCGGCCTCCCAGAGAGCTAGATTACAGGCGTGAGCCACCGCGCCCAGCCCAAGACATTGGTTTTTAAAGATAGAAGAAGAAAGGACGGAGTTGTGATCGCACATGGCCCCTTTCTACATTGTTAATGCCCCTGAGTACAGGGCAGCTGTATTTAGGGTGAAAAGATCTAGCAAATAGAACTACAGGTGCCAAAATTTAATTCAAATATATTTGAATTCAGATAAACAACGAGTAGTTTTGGCACATGTATATGCCAAATAGCACGTGGCATCCTGTAAAGTATGTTCAATGTTGCATGGTGTCCGGTTTTTTCTCTGGACTCTATTGTTAATTTCCAAGGAAAACTCTTCAGTTACGCAAGGGGACTGGACAAGGGGGGGACCAGCAACGTGGCTGCCTATGACATATGAAAAGGGTAGATGAGCCAAGGAACTATGAAAGGAGGAGTAACAATGAAGAAACTAAACAGAGTTAGACAGCCAAGCAAAATTGGACTGCCCAATGATATAAATACGTTCAAATATGAGTTTACATGTCACAGTGGACCAGTAGACGGGGTGGGCAGACGACTGAAGCCAAGTGCAAATGACAAGCCAGCGTCACAGTCCCAGAGTATGGGGCGAGGCAGGATGGCATGCCAGGTCGATGCCCAGAGAGAAGTGGAGAATGTTAGTGTCGATCGGTGGCTTTGGGTTTGAAAAGCTTGGGCAACGCTCTATCGCGGTGAACTTACTCTCGATGGGGAGGACGGGTGCTCCATGAGTGGGGCGCTGACTCCGGGAAATAGGGTATATGAGGAAAATGGAAGAAACATTTGAGAACTGACAGCCCTGAAGGAAGCAATCATGAAGTTCAACCTACAAATCCTCTGAAAATTTAAACTTGCCTTCCTAGGCCAGCATAGAGGCCAATGCATATTCAAACTCATCAAGGGTTTTCCTATTTCTAAGTCCCTAAAAAGTCTCAATGATGCTCCCAGCTCTGACAAATTTCTTTTCTTTCTTTTTTTTTTTTTTTTTGCACAGTTTACTCTGTTGCCTGGGCTAGAGTGCCGTGGCGTCAGCCTACCTCACAGCAACCTCAGACTCCTGGGCCCAAGCGATCCTCCTGCCTCAGCCTCCTGAGTAGCTGGAACTACAGGCATGTGCCACCATGCCTGGCTAATTTTTTCTATGTATTTTTAGTTGTCCAGCTAATTTCTTTCTATTTTTAGTAGAGACAGGGTCTCACTCTTGCAACTCCTGGCCTCCAGGGATCCTCCCACCTCAGCCTCCCAGAGTGCTAGGATTCCAGGCGTGAGCCACCGCGCCTGGCCCCCACTGTGACTTTTAATCACAAGCATTCAATGCATAGAAGAATATAGGGTCTAATTCAGAAGATCAGGCTTTGTGATCTTGGCAAGTCTCAGCTGTTTCCTTGGCTTCCGTCTCTCCTAACACACGGAGGATGGACTAGCTGATTACTAAGGTCGCTTCTAATGTGCGCCTCTATGGTCTGAGATCACTGAAAGTGCATCTTTTTTTTTTTTTTTTTGCTCAGTTATCAGATGCAAAAGGACTTAAATACACTTTAATCAAAGCAGAGAAAATGCATCATCTGATGGCCCAGTCTACATTTGGGAGAAGCTGTTCAAACTTTTTGCATGAAATAGTGTCGTTATCATTACTATCTCTGGGTAATGTTCCTGGCTCTAGGAAAACAGAAACAAAACTAAACAACCTTAACAGAAATGACTTTGAACTCTCTCTCTTCCGTCTCTAGATTTTCTCTGTCCCAGGCCTGCTTGGACTTTCTGGGTTTAGGGAGCAATCCAGAAAGACAGGAAGCATCATTGGTATAAAACCATAGCTCTTATATTAATCATCAGACAAGAATAATTTCTCACTTGGATTCTCTCCCTTTTTCCTCTTGCACTGGGGCCTCGTTGAACTAGTTTGCCCAGCTTTGGAATTATTAGTAAATCTTTGATTAGTTCTTGAGAAGACATTCAAAGAGCAAAGCTGGAAAGATAGCACGAGGCCACCTTTAAGTGTGGAGAACATTCATGTACAAACTCTGTGGCAAGCAGAGTCACATTTGCAAGTAAGCTATTGAAAAAAATAATGAATCAGAGATGACTACTACAGAAGTACATTCACTTTATTCAAACATTTGCTTGGTGGCTTGCAAAACAAAGTTGCTTTCTGGTTGGAGAACATGCCACAACAATGACTCAAGCCTGACTCACAGCTCCCTGACCAGTTGACTTCAAGGAGAGAAATAAACAATTCAGGCTGGTTAAGGAGGCCTCACATTGATCAGGCTTCCAGAAACCTGATGAAAGCAGTTCTCCCACCACAGAAAATGTGACTTTTCTTCATCATTTCCTTACTTTAAAAAAAAAAAGTCCCTTTTGTAGAAATTTCCAAAATTAAATAAAACATGCTCTCTATGCCTCAGTTTCCACATCTATAAAAATGATGAGGGTTAAATATTCTAAAACACACGAAGTACTAAAGAAAGCAGTTGGAAAAAGAAGAAACACCTGCTCTACCAATGTTTGCCATTATTATGATTATTATTATTATTTTATTGAAAATCTTGCCAAGGTCTCTTTCTGGTCTCCCTCCCCTCGACCCTCCACGCTGCAGGCTGCACGGATCAGCAGCACTGTATGCCCCGCATGCTTGTTAAGTGTTAAATTGTAAATTCCCCCTTCCCCCCTAAAATTCGTATGTTGAAGCTGTAACCTCCAATACCTCAAAATGTTCTCTTACTTGGAAATGGGATTGTTGCAGATGTAATTAATTAAGATGAGGTCGGTAGGGTGGACCCCTAATCCATTATGACTGCTGTTGTTATAAATGCAGACACACACATGCACACACAAAAGACAGTGTGAAGAGACACAGGGCAAACACCAGGTGAAGATGAAGGCAAAGATCCAGGTGATGCCTCTATCAGCCAAGGAACGGCAGAGTGCCAGCAAACCAGCAGAAGCCGGGAGAGAGGCGCCGAACCCATTCTCCCCCACAGCCCCGGCAGGAACCAACCCTGCTGCCACCTTGATCTCGGACTTGTAGCCTCCAAAACTGAGAAACAAAGGTCTGTGTTTAAGCCTCCCCGTCTGTGGTACTTTATTACGTAGCGCTAGCAAACTAATACACTTGTGTTATGCATGGCTCGAGTGTTCCCACCTTCTCGTCTCTACCAATGCTATTAATATAACATCTAATTGGCAAAACCCTGTCTTGCTGCCAGTGGAAAACCAATCCATATTTAGTATGGTATATTTCTCTGCTCAGATATCTGCCATCAGAATTAACTCAGTTCCTATTGTTCCCTACATAATATGTCACTAATAGCTCCTACCACGATCCTTGTGTATTACTATTTTTACCCCACTGGGACTATACCTGTCTACCCCACCAGAGTATATTGTAGTTCTTGCTGTATACATTGCCTAGATCATAAATCACAACCCAATTTTAAGGACAAATTTTTTAAAAAGCTAAAGTAGTTTTTTATCGGTAAAACCGAAATATCATAGGACATAAAATGCAAGTTGGCAGAGGAATGATGTTCCAAATTACTTGCAAGGCAATCAGTACATGTAGGAAAAGTCAATATTTCAGTAAGCTTAGCCACGTAAGCAAAAATATGTAACGTAATAGACATACAGATCATTGTAATATGAATCATTAATGCGTGTGAGTCAACTCCTTTGCAGAAGCCACAGGGCATCCGGACGCCATGCATCTGCCGTGGCGCTTTGTGCAGCCACCCTTGACCACGAGGAGCCAGCACCCTGTCTACTGTTTTCTTGTCTTCTAAGTAGGGCAGACTTGTGGGCTTCCTTTTGTATTATAGTAAGATTCCCTTCCTTTTTCCCAGGGTATTTTTACATCTAGATTGCATGTCAGTATTTTTTGGAGTCACAAAGGAGACACAGTGAGATGACGTAAACTTCCTCTCAAGGTGAAGCCAGTCCTTCTTTTTACATCTTAAATGTGATCACTTTTCCTTTTCCCAGTGTCCACCCAGAAACCACTGCTCCTTCCAGACCCAGTGATACCCCTCTTACCTCTGACCAACAATCCAACGACAGCCGGGCGCGGTGGCTCGCGCCTGTAACCCTAGCTCTCTGGGAGGCCGAGGCAGGAGGATCGCTTGAGCTCAGGAGTTTGAGACCAGCCTGAGCAAGAGCAAGAGCCCATCTCTACTAACAATAGAAAACTTAGCCAGGCGTGGTGGCACACACCTGTAGTCCCAGCGCCTCAGGAGGCCGAGGCAGGAAGATCACTTGAATCCAGGAATTTGAGATTGCAGTGAGCTATCACAACACCACTGCACTCTAGTCTAGGTGACAGAGTGAGACCCTGTCTAAAAAAACAAACAAACAAACAAACAAACAAGCAAAAAGCTTTCCAGAGGACAGGAATCTAGAAGTGTTAAGGAGAATGAAGAGTTAATGAGGCAGACAGTGCTTGTTTATGTGTCTGCCTCCCTTTTTAAATTCTAAACTCCATAAAGACAAGATCTACATTTGTTCTTATTTGTATTCCCAATACTTAATAATTATTGAAGTAAGTGAATGAGTGAAATTTAACAAGTGGAAAATAAAACAAAGGTCATCACAAGCTGGAACAATAAAAGTATTGCAACAAACTTTACAATGCGTTCAGGAACTACAAATAGTCTGGTGCTCGTAGAGTGTGGTGTCGGAGCTGGAGTAAGAGATAAGACCACAGTGGCAGCCAAGGAGTTTGGTCCTTATTCACCAGAAAACGGGCTGGGCGAGGTGGCTCACGCCTATAATCCTGGCACACTGGGAGGCCGAGGCGGGAGGATCACTTGAGGTCAGGAGTTCAAGACCAGCCTGAGCAAGGGCAACACCCCATCTCTACTAAAAATAGAAAAATGAGCAGGGTGTGGTGGTGTACGCCTGAAGTCCCAGCTACTCGGGAGGCTGAGGCAGGAGGATTGTTTGAGCCCAGGAGTTTGAGGTTGCTGTGAGCTACAATGACACCACGGCACTCTAGCCCGGGTGACAGAGCAAGACTCTATCTCAAAGAAAAAAAAAACTAGACAATGACAGACCCCAAAAAGGTGTTGCAGTATTCCTGCTTTCTACGTGGCTTTGCATTCTACAGTTCCTCATGGTAAACCACAGTCCAAAAATATAAGTGGAAAATTCCAGAAATAAACAATTCATGAGTTTCGAATCACATGCTGTTCTGAGTAATGTGATGAAATCTCTTTCCATCCCATCCTGTCCCACCCAGCACGTGAACCCCCCCTTCAAGCAAGGTTTCCCTGCTGTCTGTGCCGCCCACCCAGCAGCCACTTAGGTCGTTGTCATCAGCTCAGCTGTCACGGTATCACAGCGACTGCGCTCGAGTCATTTAAGATGGCTTTGAAGTGCAAGAGTAGTGATGCTGGCATATTGTTATAATCTCTTTTGTGATTAGTTATCGTTGTTCATCTCCTATTGTGCCTCATTTATAAATTAAACTTTACATAGGTATGTGTGCATAGGAGAAAACACCCATAGTAGGCCGGGCGCGGTGGCTCACGCCTGTAATCCCAGCACTCTGGGAGGCCGAGGCGGGCGGATTGCTCCAGGTCAGGAGTTTGAAACTAGCCTGAGCAAGAGTGAGACCCTGTCTCTACTATAAATAGAAAGAGATTAATTGACCAACTAATATATATAGAAAATATTAGCCGGGCATGGTGGTGCATGCCTGTAGTCCCAGCTACTTGGGAGGCTGAGGCAGGAGGATCGCTTGAGCCCAGGAGTTTGAGGTTGCTGTGAGCTAGGCTGATCCCACGGCACTCACTCTAGCCTGGACAACAAAGCGAGACTCTGTCTGGAAAAAAAAAAAATGAAAAAGAAAACACCCATAGTGTATGTAGGGCTCAGTGGTGTCCGTGGTTTCAGGCATCCACTGGGGGTCTCGGCATGCCCCCACGGGTCAGGGGCTGATCATAGCAGAGCAGCAGGCCAGTGAGCAGAAGCAGCCGCCTCCCAGCAGCCGCTGCTTCCTCTGGAGTGACCATGAGCAAGTAACCCCACGGGAGGGTTTCCTATATTCATTCCACAGCTGCAGCTAAAAAGTATTAAATAATAATAATAATAATAATAATACTTTTAACCTCACAAATAAAGAATGGATTAACTCTGCAAATACTTAAAACTCGTGAAGTCCTAGACAAGCCCCGTTCCTCTGCCTGGCTGAGGAGGCCACACCTGCGTCCCAGGATTGCCTCTCCCAGGGCGTCCGTGCACCTTGCGCCACGCCCGGCCCGGGGTCCCGGCCACGAGCTGGCACTGCGGGCTCCCAGGCGCAGACTTGTCTGTGAAGGGGGCAGGACTCTCTTAGACACTTTCTCATCGCCAAAGAGGCGATGCGGGAGCCTTGGGAGAAAACAGCAGGAAAGGACAACTAGTAAACACACGTCTCAGCCGGGTGGCTTTCTTGGCATTGGAGCCCCTGTGCGGTAGGTGTGGAAGGCGTCTCTACTGTACCACCTGGAATGGATTCTGCAAGTGGAGTGCTCCCAGTAAATCAAGAATTTCCATGACTTTATCATGAATAATGGACACAGGGATCTTTTTAAAAGCAAAGAATGTAACACTGCAGGAAAGGCAAAATAGGATTAAAGAGAAGTAACAATTTGCTGTTTTTCTTTGATGCATCTAAGTAGTTTTTTTTTTTATCTTTAATTTCACAGGGTTGCAAACTGATGGCTAATAGGACACACTCAACTCTATGCCTTGCTCAGCCTGCTCGGTGCCCTAGAATTCAAGAAAGATCCCATTAAAAATCAGTTTTCTCTTGGCAAATGGGAAGATCTTAGGATAATGGACCATTTCCCCGCAACGGCACCGATGGGTTAGGCCATCCCTATAGCTCACCCCCGCCCGGCTGTGGTCACCAGCCACCTCCACTCAGTTCAGCTAAAATACACATCGCCCTGGGAGAGGCTACACAAACCTGGGGTTCCGTTAGGACCCAGACAATCAATGTCAGCTTCTTTCCTGGACGCTGGCTGTGGTCGGGGAGCAAAGAGGAGGGCGAGAGACGGCGGGAGGGCAGCCCGTCCTCCCGGGGCTGGCCCCGTCTGGACTAACGCAGGTGACCTGGCAACTCTCAGGTTGCCTTCAACTCTCTCGTGAAGGTACTCACAGGCGTCTACTTTAGTGTTATGGAATTTTATCTCTAAATTAATGAATTGCATTGAGAACTCTAATGTTTTTCCGGAAGAGAAGTCAAAGTTCTGTCAGGCAAGAGAATGTCCCAAGAGAACCAGCCTCACGTCGGGGGCACTGAGCCGCGCCCGCGCTTAGTCCTCTGATCCAGGCAGTTGCCATCTCCCTGCAGGTGCCAGAACAGCAGTCCAGGGACTGAGAAGCGAGGACTTGCCACGGGAAAGCTCAGGCCGGGCCACCCAGCTGGCGCCCTAGGGCTGGAGCTGGCCCAGCCCGCAGCTAAGCCATTCCGTCTCCCCTGCGGGTCCTGGGTTCCTTCTGATCCGAAGCAGAAGGCCGTTGACCACCCTGAACTCCACTCTCCAGGATCTCAGCAGGGGTGGGGACCTGCTGCATTCTGATTCCAAGATTGTTCTTTTTTAAGCATCAAAGGAGGCAAGAAAAGCTTCCTCTTTCTCTGTTACACCCCTTTTAATGAAAGGATTCGTTCTGTAAAATTTGGTTTCAGTGAAAAGGCCTCACTCAAGGATCCAGAAGGCCACATGTAGCCCCAAAGCTGCCGGTTCCCCACCCCCGTGAGACCTTTTTCTAGTCACCTCCAGCACTTCCCATGCCTCCTACATCCAGGGCCCCGCCCAGCCCCTTTCTGAGGAAGAGGAGGAGGGATGCGTAACATTTGCCACGTGCCTTAAACACAGCAGCCACTGACCCTGAACAAGTTTCTTGCCTTCTCTGAGCCTCAGTTTCCTCATATGTATAGTGCGATGAGAAAACCTACCTGACAGAGTAGTCGCACAGACGCCAATCTCACTGCCCTTTAACTTCCCGCATTTAAAAGCTTGTTTCCAGCCTGGACAACATAGTGAGACCCCATTTGAAAAAAAAAAAAAACAAAAGTGAAACCTTGTTTCTCTGTCTGTAAGCCCAGATCCATTGTTTAAAACTGAGTTTAGGCCGGGCGCTGTGGCTCACGCCTGTAATCCTAGCTCTTGGGAGGCCGAGGCGGGCGGATTGCTCAAGGTCAGGAGTTCAAAACCAGCCTGAGCAAAAGCGAGACCCCGTCTCTACTATAAATAGAAAGAAATTAATTGGCCAACTGATATATATATAAAAAATTAGCCGGGCATGGTGGCGCATGCCTGTAGTCCCAGCTACTTGGGAGGCTGAGGCAGAAGGATCACTCGAGCCCAGAAGTTTGAGGTTGCTGTGAGCTAGGCTGACGCCATGGCACTCACTCTAGCCTGGGCAACAAAGCGAGACTCTGTCTCAAAAAAAAAACAAAAAAAAAAACTGAGTTTAAAAAAAAAAAATCCAACAAAACCGAGATGACCATTGCAGAGGGTTTCGCAGATGATATTGCTATTGAAATCAGTAAATGGTATTGTGCACAAAACAGGATACGTAATGTCGTTGTGGCGTTTGTTCCTCGTGGGGCGATTAGGCGACAGAGGCCCAGGAAGAAACCAGGGCGTTCGCTGGGCAAGCACATCCCGTGACAATGTCTCTCCTCAGGAGGGGCCTCACGCCACCCCGACAGGCTTCTCCAGGCTCCATCAGTGTTTTTCGTTGTTTAAAGACACACATTAATGTAAAGTCTCCTCCCATTCTCTCTGTAAATTACAGCATTCAGAAGAAGTGGCAGCTGCTGTAATTAAGACACAGTTAATTGCCTATCTCCTTAATTGCCATGATAGGATTTTGACAGTTTGGTAAATAAGAATTGTTTGGTTTCCTCTGGCAACCTCAGCTCTCCCTGCAAGTGCTGAGTCACCCACTGGGGACAAAGGGCTGCCTGGGGCCAAGGGAGGCAGGAGGGGAGGGGAACCGCAGGCCCGCAGGCCGGGGCAGGTAGGTCGCCTTAAGTGTCCTCCCTCTCTGGGGGAACCTCCCCAACGTTGCCTACTTTGTTCCCCAATAAAATCCTCCCGGAGTTTTCTCCCACATGACTCAGTCATCACGCCACATGAGCCTACAGACAGGGAACCACGAGCAGGATGCCTGGGTCACGGGGCGATGACCTGCGGCCGGTGGCACAAGAGGGCGCGACCAGAAGCCCAGAGAGATCGGACACACCCGCAGGCGGGGAGCTCCGTGTGCGGCCGGCTGGAGCCACGTTCCTCCCACTGCGCCCCCCCCCCTCGCAGTCTGAGGGGACTGGAGGTGACACAGACCTGGGTTCAGAGCCTGTCTTTCCTTTACGGCCTGTGTAACTACGGGCCGGATACTGGATGTTTCCAGGCTGCCCCGCACAGCACCACCCAGATCTTTGACCTTATGCTGTCCTCAGAACAACCTTTTTTTAGAAAAGAAAGTTCTAATCAATAGATAGTCTGGATTATTTGCCTGCATGATTTTCCTTTTCACCCTAACTTTTGCCCTTTCTTACATGGATAGCTGGGCTCTCCTCAGAGACCAAAAAGTCTCTGCTTTTTGTAAACCCAAAACCTGAAAGCCATTGCCTAGCAAACCTTTCTACCCCACAGTGCATCACAATACCCTTTGAAAGATGTAAAGCTGCCAGTCCTGCAACTCTGCAGTAGCCTCTGCCACACCTGCCACGCCAGGAGGCAGAGAGCCGCCCTCACAGGACTCTTCTAAGAACGGGGAGGCCTCTACCCACTGCAGCCCGCGCAGGTAACGCCCAGTGTGTCTGTAACTCAGGTGCCTGGCTCTCTTCTCACTTAGCGGTTGTATTGCTAAGTAGTGGATTGCGTTTGGAGGGTTCTGGAGACAGGAACCCACAATTTAAGGAAACTTGGTGGCAAAACTCTTTGTCAAGCTAAAATTTCTTTTAGGAAGTGAATTTTCATCCCTCTCAATTTTGAATTATTGCAATAGTTTTAGCTTAACTTTTTTTTTTTTTTTTTTTTTTTAGAAACGAGGTACAAATATACATAAGATATCTGATTCCCTATGATACAAGAAGACTGAAGTTTTTTGTTTGTTTGGTTTTTGGTTTTTTCTTTTCTTGAGACAGAGTCTCACTCTGTTGCCCTGGCTAAGTGCCGTGGCACCAGCATAGCTCACAGCAACCTCAAACACCTGGGTTCAAGCGATCCTCCTGCCTCAGCCTCCCGAGTAGCTGGGACTACAGACACACACCACCACGCCCAGCTAATTTTTCTATAAGACCAAAGTTTTAAAACTGTTAACTTCATACCTAATGGGTGCGTCGTGCACCATCTGGGGGATGGACACGCTTGAAGCTCTGACTCGGGTGGGGCAAAGGCAATATATGCAACCTAAACATTTGTACCCCCGTAATATGCTAGAAACAATAAACCCTGTTAACTAAATTACCAGGTTACCTAGTTGGCTGATTGATTGATTCTTTCATTTATTCATTCATTCCAAAGTATGCATCAAGGACTTCCTGGATGTGGAACATTTGGCCACACAATGAGATAGGAGAAGGACAAGGAGGGTGAAGATAGTGGTCACCAAAACAATATGGTTGCCAACATCTATCTAGGAGCTTACATCTTAGCTGAAGAGGCAAAGTGCTATACGAAACAGATGTCTTGTCGCTTGAAGAATTTCTAGAGCCCCTCTAAGGCCCAGTGCAGAGTTGTCACTCATTAAATATTTTCTTAAATAGTAATAATAAAATGAATCAATTAATTGAGAAACCAATAAAACAAAGAGGAAAGGATTCAGAACTGAAATACAAAGTAGTTCAAAAGTGTTGGCGAAAAACAAAAATAAATAAAAAGAAAAGAAATAAAATGCACAGTAGAATTTATCAAGGGCTCTGGGAATTCAGAGGCAGGCAATGGACCATTTGGAAGTGAGAAAAAAGGCCTAAAGTCCCCTTGTAGGGGACTTTATATAGGACTTGAATCCGGCCCTGAAGAGTGGGTGGGCTGTAGACTAGAGGAGAAAGGGAAGAGCATCCAGGCAGCAGAATTCACAAGAGCATTGGGGTGAGAATGGGCGGAGCGGGGAACCAGCCTTCCTGAACTGAGAAGCCTGGCTTCCTGAGGAAACGGAAATAATAGGAGACTGTCAAAATAACCAGTTAGGAAACCCTCTTTTACACATCCTCTTACCGCACACATGCTCAAAGGCAGCGGGGAGCAGACATCCCAGCTACAGAAGAGTCCTGCAGTCAGCGAGGCTGCTGTCATGGGCTTAGCCACTTGGGTCATGTCAGTTATGTCAATTCCTTTTCATTTATTTATTTATTTGAGACAGGGTTTTGCTCTGTCGCCCAGGCTGGAGTGCAGAGGGTGCAATTATAGCTCACTGTAGCCTCAGACTTGAACACCTTTTCAAGTAAGCCTCCTGCCTCAGCCTCCCAAGTAGCTGGGACTACAGTTACGGCCACACTGGGTTAATTACTTAAATTTTAGTAAAGATGGGGTCTTGCTATTTTGCCCGGGCTGGTTTCGAACTCCTGTCCTCAAGCACTCCTCCTGCCTCGGCCTCCCAAAGTGCTGAAATTACAAGTGTGAACCACCACACTTGGCCCAATTATGTCAATTCAGAGAAGCACCTAGTCCATGTACCATCAGATCACTAGGGCATGGCTTTCCCCAGAGGCTGAGCTTCTGTCAATGCCATGGGCACAGATGTGACACTTCCAAGAAAAAAGCCATTTTAAAATGCCACTAAGCTGTGAAGTCATGTACAACATCTAGACAGTAAAGAAAAAATTTTTTAAAAATAAGAAAATTATAAAATATTTAAAAAACAATAATAATAAAATAAAATGCCACTAAGCCAGGCAAGGTAGCATGCACCTATAGTCCCAGCTACTCTAGAGGTTGAGGCAGGAGGATCACTCAAGTCCAGGAGTTCAAGGCAGCCTAGGCAACATAGTGAGACCTAAAAAAATGATAAAAATTAAAAAGACACTCTCTGACTATACCAGAATTTTCCATCGAATACCTGAATTTTCCAAATCTTACTAGATAAATAGTGTCAAAGTCTTGGTGTCCCTACTCCCCCACATTGAAAAAAAAAACAAAAACAAAATCTTGGGGCCCTGCCTCTGGTAACCTGCCTCTGCCCCTTCCCTGGACACATCAATTGCTAACTTGCTGGTTATCATTTCATTTGGGGGCAGAAGTTGATTAAATTTACCAGGTAATTGCTACTAGCTCCACTTGACATTGTATAGGGGGCACCCAACCTTTGGTTTAACAATATTATTTTAAATTAGTTCCTACCATAAAAATAGATGACAATTTTTTAAAATATCTTTTCAACCAAGTCCTCAGAAAACCCATCTTTGCGAGAAAAGCTTCTCAAACGCTTCGTTTCAGGGAAAATGTCCGAGTATTGTGAAGTAAATGTGACTTATCTGCTCTTAGAGCCTTTTCCTGTAGAACTCTGAAAGAAGAGGGGACAACCACCCAACTGTCTGAAAAGTAACTTGATGCCAAAGGATTCTGTTTTAGCAGTTGCTGCACTTTAATTTTGTATTCACTTGTGTGGCTCTATGATCAATGTCTGACTTCATCTCTTCCACCAGATTGTAAGCAGCATGACAGTGAAATCACGTATCTTTTGCTAAATCCTTTCCCCCTAGTTCCTGACAGCATCAGGCCTGGGTAGCTAGTCAATAAATATTTGTTGAATGAATCAGTGAATCAGTGGTGCTACAGTAGAAGGAGCTTGGGCTTTGGAGTCAGAAAGACTTGGTTGTGTGAATTTAAACATGCTATTTAACATATTCTACAAATTAAGAGTAATAATGGGCTAGGTGCGGTAGCTCATGCCTGTCATCCTAGCACTTTCAGAGTCCAAGGAGGGAGGATCGCTTGGGGCCAGGAGTTCAAGGCCAGTCTGGGCAACATAGCCAGACCCTATCTTTACAAAAAGTTTTAAAAATTAGCTGGGCATGGTGGCACAAGCCTATAGTCCCAGCTACTTGAGAATCTGAGGCAGGCGAATCACTTGAGCCCAGGAGTTTGAACTATTATGATGCCACTGCACTGTAGCCTAGGTGACAGAGCAAGACCCTGTCTCAAAAAAAAAAAAAAAAAGGAGTAATAAGGAACAACTTGCAGGATTTTTTCGAAGACTGAATTAAATCATAAGTGAAACATCTGATAGATATTGGGTGTCAGCTGAGGTTCTTTTCCACCTCTCCTTCTATCAGAGGCTAGTTGCTTTTTTTCAAAATTGTTTTGGCTATTTTAGTTCCCTTGCATTTCCAAATATATTTTAAAATAAACTTGTTTATATCTACAAAAAAATCCTGCTGGGATTTTGATAAGATACACCAAATCAATTTAGGAAGAATTTTTATCTTTATTATGTTGAGCCTTCCAATCCATGAACATTGTATATCTCTCAGGTCATCTTTGATTTCTTTTATCAGCATTTTGTAGTTTTCAGCATACAGATCCTGTGCATCTTGTTAGATTTTTATGTGATATTTCATTTTTTAAGCAATTTTAAATAGTAGTGTTTTAAATTTCAGTTCCAATTTTTTATTTATAGTATAGAAAGATGAGGGGTTTTTTACATGTTGATCTTATATCCTATGATCTTCTTAATCATAGTTGTTAGTTTTAGGAGTTTATTTGTAGATTCCTTGAAATTTACCCCATAGACAATTATGTCATTTGCAAATACAGATAATGTTCTTCCTTACCCATCTTTATACTTTTTATTTCCTTTTCTTGCCTTATTGTACTGGCCAGGACTTCCAGTACTATGCCAGTGAGAACAGTGAGAGTAAACATCCTTGATTTGCTCCTAATTTTAGGAAGAAAGCATTTAGTCTTTCACTATTATTGTATAATATAACGTTAGCTGTGGGTTTCTGTAGATGTTTTTTATCAGGTTGAGAAAGTTCCCCAATACTTTACTAAGAAGTTTCACCAGGAATGGCAGGATTTTATTAGGTCTTTCACTCTGTTATTGTATGTTATAGAAATCTGGTTTAATCCATACTATAATACAATACCAAAAACTTGCTGAGAAAGTTGACAAAATAAATCTTACCTATTTGTTCCTGAAGTTAGCATGTTTTTTTTTTGTTTGTTTGCCTTTTTTGTTCGTTCGTTTGTTTGTTTGTTTGTTTGTATGAGACAGAGTCTCACTCTGTTGCCTGGACTAGAGTGCCGTGGCGTCAGCCTAGCTCACAGTAACCTCAGACTCCTGGGCTCAAGCAATCCTTCTGCTTCAGCCTCCCGAGTAGCTGGGACTACAGGCATGCACCACCATGTCCACCTAATTTTTTCTATTAGTTGGCCAATTAATTTGTTTCTATTTTTAGTAGAGATGGGGTCTCGTTCTTGCTCAGAGTGGGTTTGAACTCCTAACCTTGAGCAATCCTCCCGCCTTGGCCTCCAGAGTGCCAGGATTACAGGCGTGAGCCACCACGCCCGGCCTGAAGTTAGCATGTTGAACATTAACTTTGAGGAAGTTTGTTGCAATGTATATTTTAAATTTATTTACTTTGGTTTACCTTTTGAACACAGGCATAATAAAAAGTTATATTATTAAATTTTAATGTCTGTGCAGTGGAAGTTTAGCTCAATGGTTTAGGAAACAACATTAATCAATGGAAGTGGCTAAAATCCTCGTAAGTATGAGGCAATGAAGATATCCAAGCCTCAACTAATTCTGAGGAATGTAGTTTAAGAAATAAATTCAAAAGAATTAAATATATTCATACAGATGTTCAGCATGACCAAAACATCCAAAATTAGGGAGTTGGGTTTCATAAATTATAACTCATTGTTATTCAATAAATATGCATTCAATATCTTCCATTTATTATTTATTTTCTATTTATTATCTTTGACTTTATTTATCTGTGGATTTATTATCTTGCACTTATAGCCATGAACAAAACAGACAAATCTCCCTACCTTCATAGAGATTATTTCTATAGGGGGGAGGGGCTGACAAATATGAATAAGACTCATAAGTAAATGTACAGTATGGCAAATGGTGGTAAGTGTTTTGGAGGAAAATTAAGGCATAGACAGAGAAAGGGAGTTCAGAAGTCAGGGTGAAGTGGGGTCCTATTTTATCTTAGTTTAGTTTAGTTTATTTTGGGGGGGTCCTATTTTAAATAGGGTGATGGGTGGGTCTCACCAAACATGCAAAACAACATTAAATATTAGAATTAAGAATACTGTGTAGCAATGTGGGAAGAGTTTCATGATATATTGTTGAATAAAACCCAAACCACGGCCAGGTGCACACCTGTAGTCCTAGCACACTGGGAGGCTGGGTGGGAGGATTGCTTGAGCTCAGAAGTTTGAGACTAGCATTGAGAAAGAACAAGACTCTGTCTCTACTAAAAATAGGAAAATCACCCAGGCATTATGGACGCATACCTGTAGTCCCAGCAACTGGAGGGGTGGGAGGGGCCGAGGCAGGAGGATCAGTTGAGCCCAGGAGTTTGAGGCTACACTGAGCTATGATGACACCATTACACTCTAGCCCAGGCCACAGAGTGAGACTCTGTCTCAAAAGAAAAAAAAAAGGTATCCTAGGATTAATTTGAAATTGAATGAACATTAGGATAAGGGTACAAATAGAACTCTTGTTTGCTCTGGAAGAATTTTACTTGGGGCACATCTGAATGAGAATCTTCTATTAAGGCAACTAAAAAATTATGTATTTTAAGGGAGATAAAAGTTATGTTGTTGCTGGTGCTGAGAACAACAGTTGTACAATACCGTGTTTCCCCGAAAATAAGACCTGCCCATAAAATAAGCCCTAGCAGGATTTCTAAGCATCTGCTCAATAGAAGCCCTACCCCGAAAATAAAACCTAGTGATGGGCGTGGCTACATAGGGCATCTGCACAACCCATGCATTTCGTGGCGGAGTGGTAAAGAAGATGAGCAGCCCTTCTCATCTGCCCCATGAGAGCTCTATTGCTTGACATGAGAGATTGGGGCCAATGGTTCTAAAGGAAATAGAGTCGCAAGAAATTCAGGATGGAATTCCGAGTTTAGAGAGTTATGATGATGTTCCAGAAGAAGACAACTTAACTATATTTGAATAAATGTAGATTGTTGTGCCCTACTTAAAAAAAATAACACATCCCCTGAAAATAAGTCGTAGAGTATCTTCTTGAGGAAAAATAAATATAAGACCCTGTCTCATTTTCGGGGTAACACGGTACTGGCCGTGGATATGGAAATGATGGTAAATTTACCATATGTTCATATTTAAGTTACCACATTCAGATTTGGTCTGTGGCTACATTTTTAAAGATTGACTAAAGTACTGATACATCTCACTTGAACTACGTTTTCTTATGTGTCCAAGAGACAACTAATGACACGAAGTGTGGTTTGGTATCCCTTTTATAAGTAGAGGAAATTCTCTAAGGGTCCGTAACCACTCCCAGACTAGGATCTGTGATTGTTTGGGGAGCTTAGGCCAAAGCATGACAACCCATGATCTGTTTAGTCCCCATGAGGCTGATTCAGAATTTCTAGGCACTGAGCAATCACGCTCATCAAAGGCAGAGCCAGGGTTGTCTTTGTTATGAGCTCAAATGTCCTGAATACCTTGCATTCCTCTCTCCAGCATATCAATTCTGGCGAAGTAAAATCTCAACGGTCACAAAGGTCTCTGAGTTTGGGGCATCCAATTAAGCTAGAGCTCAACTGTGTTTACCCAGATTTTCTCTTTTGTCTGTTCCTTCTTTTTTTTTTTTTTTTTTTTTTAATAATCACAACAGTGAAAATACATTAAAAAGTACAAACACATTATATAATGAACAGGCTTGGTTGGATAACCAACCATTCTGTTATAATGCCGTGCTGTTGAAAAGTGTCTAGTTGTTTTGAAAAACACACTCAGAGGCAAAATAAAGCAGCTAGCCAGCTGGTGGGCAAGGAGTTAAGTTTTGACTATAAAAGGGAAGAGAGGGAGGCATCACACACTTTTGTTCCAGTCCTTTCTGTCTCCTGGTTACTGCTTCTTTTGAATAGTCCTACTTTTGTTTTGGCCGATGGTCTGGGTGCTTTGTGAGTGCTTCAACAGAGCACAGTAGTCGCTGCAAATGCTTCTGGAGCCAGCGGGTTCCAAGCCTGGTTCCTTGGTAACCTTGTACATGTTACTTGACTTCTTAGTGCCTCGGGTTTTCTTGGGAGGGAAATAGTAATAAAACTTTGTAGGGCTGCTGGGAGGCTAATAGGAGTTTAACACTTATTATCTGACACATAATCCATGCTCATAGTAGGAACTCATATTTCTTCTCTCTCAAAGGTGTTTTCAAAGACAAAGAACACTCTCAAACACGTTATTGCCTCATTTAACCCACCAGAAAGTGGCGGGAAATGGCTTGTTGCAGGTCACATAGGGTCTGGTTCAATGTTCTCCTGTTGCACTATTAGCCATGTTTGTCATAATGTATACATGTAGTGCAAAATTGGTAAGGTACACAAAAGGCAAATATTGCAAGGTACAGTGCTCTCCCACCTCTGTTCCCCAGCCACTCGGTTTCCCTCCCCACTGCTGACTCTTTCTCCTGTGAATATTTAAACGTAGTAGTTTACTTGTGCCAAGCCCTATTCTCCAATTAATAATCAGATGTCATATGGCATTTTAGACTAGAAACAATACATAGTATATGTTTAAGTCCCGAGTCAGTATGGGAAATAGACAGGGGTATAATACAGAGAATGAGGTGCTTACAAAATCATCAGAAAGGCTAGAGGAGTAGGCTCTGGGTGGGGTCCCCAGGAAGCTTCTAGAACACCTCTACAAAAATGAACCATCACTGGCTGTAAAAAGAAACCAAAATCTCAGGGCCACCCCCCAACTTCATAAGCAAAAGAGAAGGTAAAGGCCTCCAGCACCTGTGAAGAGCTGGCCCCACAGATCACTCAGGAAATTCCTTGCTGACCTTCCATGAGCAAGAACATGCGAATTGTACCTACGTCCAGCACCTGAAAGTGAACTAAGAATGAATTAGGAGTTTATCTCTACAGGTAAAATCAGGACACACAGGATCAGACCTTCTTCCATGTACCCAGGGACATCTACATAACTGATGTTTCCTTCACTCCCTTCTTCTCTTCTAACATTCTCCTTATTTCATGTAAAATGTAGATCTCCTGGGTCTCACAAGAATGTCATCATTTTTCCTCCCCAACTCTCTCCCCCCTGCTTTTTTTTCTGTCTCTCTGTGTGTCTTTAAATGCTGAAGCTTCCAACAGCCACAGGTCTGCCTGTGGTTCATGTTTTTCCTGGGCGAATCCTCGATTTAGCTTAACAAACCTCCATTGATTGAGATTTTTGCCCCAGTCACTTATTTGGGTCGTATGACACAGCTATGTCTGCCCAAACCAGGAAGCTGCTTCCAGATCAACTGAGTTCGAGAACCTATCCCAGAAGCCACTGGCACTGCCACTGCAGCTCCCTGTGCACGCACAGGAAGCTGGGAATGTGAACCCTGGGACACAGAGGTCAGCCCTTGCCTTCACAGCAACTGCTTCCTGACACCCCCAAGGATGAGCAGCTGAGACGCTGGCGTTCTGCTGCAGAAAACACCATTGCTTCTCAGCCTTGCCTGCCAGTAGAGAAGGTCAAACCGGCAGGAAACGGCCTCTGCCTTGTTTCCACCTTCCAAATCCCAAGCGAGTACCGCTGACTGCTGGACTCTAATCCATCCCCGGAACTCTGGTAGTGAGGGACTCTGGGAAATGTAGTGCCTGGCTTGCACGTTGGTGCAGGAGGAAGACCCACGGGGAAGTGAGACTGCTCAACTATCACGCTGAGCGCAGTACTTTTGGTTTTTAAAGGTTTGGCTTATGCTTGCCATTGCTTCTTGCTTCTTTTCTTGTCTTTTATTTCTTTCCCTAAATGGTCTAGAAGAATCTATAGAGACTCCTCCACCATGTCAGTTTTCTTACTGTGATTTCTTTCAAGATGGACTTTGTGGTACTAGATAGCTCATTCCTGGAAATATGTATAAAGTTGCAAAATGAACCTTCACGCCATACTTTGTTTTTGCAGATCCCATCCACCATGACCGCCATCCGACTACGAGAATTTATAGAGCGCCGCCCAGTGATCCCACCCAGGTAATGTTTTTCCAGATGCAGAACCTGCCAGAGCTGAGGCCGGCCAGGCAGGCTCCTGGGGAACTGGCATTGCTCTCTGGCTGCTCCCTGGCTGAGAGACCACTGTCAGAGTGTTTTCTAGTGAAGCGTCACCGAGTTTACAGAAAGTTTTTAAAAAAAGAAATCCCACACTCGTTGCAGAACCCAAGCAAACAGCCAACTTTAAATTCCAAAAGATTGGAAGGATATTGTTTTTTGCTTGGGAAGGGTGTTAGCATGAAGTATGAGGGACCCAAGTCCAAATTTTGGATGAGACCCCTTTACTCTGCTTGGGGTAAAACCGGCCACTCCAATGCTTCTGCAGTGCGGAGCTGACTGCTCAGGCGGAAACTGGGGAGGAGTTTCACTCTTTCTCCAAGTTCATCTATGACACTAGACATGTTTTATTGTGCTAAATTTGATATTAAATGACAATCTGTAAGACCTAAGCCCGCTCTCCCCTCACCAGCTGCTACGGGGCCTGCAGAGATGTGGAAGCTTTGAACCTGGAGGCCGTAACCCTTACACTCTGATTTCGGGGTCGGCCTCTCCCAGCCTCACTGGTTTTGTGAATTTGAGCAAGCCTCATGTTTATTTTAGTATTTATTTATTTTAACAGAGTTAGGTCAACAAAGAGAAGCCCTTTTGCTCCCAGAAACTGTTGAAGGAGTGAGTGGAAGGATGCTTCCTCCATAGTACGTTAAGAATCCTCTTTTCAGGGAAAGTACAGAGCCTTCCCTGAAACCGGCAGGAGGAGGAAGAGGAATAGGGGTTGATTCCAGTATTTCTTTTTTTTTTTTTTGAGACAGAGTCTCACTTTGTTGCCCAGGCTAGAGTGAGTGCCGTGGTGTCAGCCTAGCTCACAGCAACCTCAAACTCCTGAGCTCAAGCAATCCTCCTGCCTCAGCCTCCCGAGTAGCTGGGACTACAGGCATGCACCACCATGCCCGGCTAATTTTTCTATATATTTTTAGTTGGCCAATTAATCTCTTTCTATATATTTTTAGTAGAGACAGGGCCTCGCTCTTGCTTAGGCTGGTTTCGAACTCCTGACCTTGAGCGACCCACCCACTTCAGCCTCCCAGAGTGCTAAGATTACAGGCGTGAGACACCTCGCCTGGCCTGATTCCAGCATTTCTTGATTCCTCCCTCCCCATGAGCCGTTTGCTTTTTCTGTGACTTGGTGCCCCCACCTCTGCCTGCAGCACTCGTTGTCCAGTGGCTCTTTGCCGTTCCTGACCTTGCCAACACGAGGTCCAATCCAACACCACGTGCCACGCATTCTTCCTCCAGGATAGCTCTCCCACTGCCGCTGCGTGGTCAGGATCGCCATTGCCTCTCCCTGCTCATCTACAATGACCCCTACTCTCCTCCTCCCAAGATCCATAAGAAATGTAAATTGAATGATGGCCCTCCATTGCCTAAAACCCTTCAACCCATTGCATTTAACATAAAATCCACGAAACTCACTGCTGTGGCCTACAAAGCCCTAGAGGGACGACCTTGCCTGCCTCTCCAGCCTTCTCCTCGCCAGCCCCTTGCCATGGCCTCTTTTGTACCTCAGGCCTTTTGGACATGCTGTTCCTTCTCCCTGGACTGCTCCCTACTCCCATGCCCTCCAGCCCTGTCACCCAGCACATCTCAGCTCTGTTCTCAACTGCTCCTTTACCCCCTGGCTAGAGGTCTTCTCCTTCTGCAACCTCTGCACTTTGGTTATTCCCCATCTCACACCATTTTTGATTTCCTTTATGACCTTTATCACAGCTTCCAATTATTGTTTTTTTCCTGCCTATCTCACCCACTGGAATGATAATGGTTAACACTTCTGCAGCTGCAACTGTGTGTCAAGCACTATTCTACTCGCACATCAACTGCTCATTTAATCGTTACAACTGGGAGTTTCAGATGAGGAAACTAAGGCAGAGTGTGGTTAAACCAACCACAGCTAGTGATTGGCAGAAGTGGGACCTGCCAATCTGGCTCCACCGTCTGTGCTTGTGGTCGCTGCACTTTGCTAATCTCCAGGTTAGCCTGCCTGGGACAGGCCTTGCTTGCCCTTCTCTGCAACTCACTGTCATAACCTCTGCAGATGGCCGGTCCTGGTAGGCCCTCCGTGAGCGGCTGATGACTACATTAAAATGAATGACTGAGCAAAATGTTTCTGTCATTTTTGTGTGGTTTGGCCTCCTGGTGACTGTTGTTACCTGGGCCTGCCCTTCTGCTGTTCTGCACAAGCAGATATCCAATGCATCCTTAAATGCCCAACCCTTAGGGTTATGCTAGGGAAAACTGAATTACAAACCAGTTGGGGCACCTAATTAAAGTAACTATTAAATGGTTCACAAGTAGTAGTGACCACATAAAATTCTTATAATAATAATCGCACTAGATGCAAACATTAACTGTGCGCCATTTCCAAGCTACATATTGGAGACCTACTCTGGGGCAGGGCTGAGTGGTGCATTGGTTTGTGGATTCCAGCCAGTATGCTCCTGAAAAGATCACTTCAAGTGGATTTAATTCAGTGTGCTGTGGAAGATAAAAGATACAGAATTTGTGTGCAATTTACAATTTAAATGGATTTAAAGAATTTCGTTACCAAAAGTTCAGTACTTTTCCCCATGGCTAAAGGAAGAACCGGCAAATGAGGAGGATGGCAGACTCTTGTCTTCAAGGACCACTGTCCTATCTATAAGCAGAAATACAGAGCTTTTAAAGGGAGTTCTCAGTTTCAGGCTACTGCCGTTTAACTATAGCATCTTCAGTGAAGACAATCTCATGATTTCTGCCCTGACAATTCCATCGAGCCATCTCCTGGGGTACAAAGAATGAAGGACACTCTCCTGCCCCTCTGATTACTGGCATTGGGCAGGAATTCAGGTTTTAATTCCCAAAATGAGTGGGGGCAGGGGTTTAAAGGGACAACTTGTAATACATTTTGCCCTTTTTCAGACCCTTACCTCTGTTCCATTTTGGTTGGAGCAGTCTCTGAAAGACCCAGAGGCAGTGGTGGGGTCAGCTCATTTTGCTGGAATGATATCAACACCTAACACAAATGGGATATATTAGCCACCAAATACAATTGTCTCCTTTAATCATTACAATTGTCTCATGTAATCATAAGGAAGGCTTATGAAGCTTCCGGCTTCCTGGAGGAGATATCCTGGAGCCAGTAGAGCCTGAGAGATAAGGCTGTGGGCCTGGTGGTCTCCCAGCCCTGCTTTTAATCCCATCTTCTGTACTTACTAGCTCATGTATGTCCTTAGTTAATCTACTTATTCCTTTGAGGATCAGTTTCCAAAGTGGTATAGCACTCACCGTATTGTCTGATTAGTTAGTTGCCTGAATATGGTTTCTTGTAGGATTACAAATGCTTGGGTAGAAAAACATTTATCATCACTGTATCCCTAGCACCCAGGGTACTGAAGACACATCAGCAGAGCTTGCAATAAGTACTTTTTATTGAATTGAAAGCATCTTCCAGCTACCATTGCTGTGTCTTTACGGCTTTTCTTGGAAGGCAGCTCTGCTCACCACTATGCTACCAACTGCTTTTCTTATTCTTTCGACGTATGATATCTACTACTTGTCTGCCCATAAGTGGGAGAATCCCTGAGTCCATACAAAAATAACAATAACTCCAAACTCTTCTGGAAGACAGAAATCATCGCACACACACATTGATGACTCTGAATATGACATGGTGTTTAGAGAACTGGGTTTGATTCATGTTTCTGGCATTTACTAGCCGGGGGATATTTAGAAAGTCCATTTAACCTCTCTGAGGCTCAGCCTGCTCTTATAAAACAGAGAGTTAATATTTGCCTTGCAAGGTAACTGTGAAAATTAAATGAGATCATCTCTGTAAAAATGCTTTGTAGAGCATGAGGCACGGCACGGATGTAACGGAGAAGAGCATTGTCACAGCAACCCAGGCTGCCTCGGGCTGTGCAGGGATGAACACCCGACCTCCCTGTGTGTGTTGAGTCGTGTCGGAGGCTAAGCCCAGATCCTGCTCCAGTTACACTCACCCTCCCTGGGGACAGGGGTGCTCTCCTGTGGCCTGAACACATCGCCCCAAAGAGCCAAGCTCTCGGGGACTTGTAAATAATGCAGGGTGGCATCATTCACAGCCGACTGCCTGCTCCCACCCAAGGGGAAGGGAAGGGCTTTCCACGGCCGGTTCAGCAACCTTGGAAGCCAGGGCAGTGGAATCAGTCTGGGCAGAGCCCTGGGAAGCCCTGGGGAGTCCACGTGAGGCCGGGCACGGCACAGCCTCTGGTCAGGGTAGGCATTTCCCCTTAGGAGATAAAAATTCTCTTCTGCACGTCTCCAGCCTGCCCTCCCTGCACAGCCATGACCTTGCACACACTTCACTCACGCTCCACTCCTGCCAAAACCTGCCAAGAGACACTCCCCAGGGGCTGCGGGCAGGGAGTGTCACTTCGTGCTGGGGAAGGGCTTCTCCATTCTCAGAGCAGCTTTTACAGACTGTGTCTGAGGAGCTTCGCTCCCTCGCCTGTGGTCAGCAGGCATTGGTTGTGCGCATGCCAGGGAAGAATCCACGGTCAAAACAAGCCCACTGCAGACAGCACAGCACCTGCGAGAAACCAGAGCGTCCCCTTGGAGCTCGGTGGGTTCTTAACTGACGTGGCCCTGGGGTGATAGGCCAAGGCAGGGCTCCAGGAGCTGGACGGCTGCCTGAGAAAGCTATGGCTCAGAGCTGTCATTTGTTCCCCTTACGGTGCCAATTCCTCTTTCTTCTGATGACTTAATCCCCTGCTGTTATTTACTCCTAGTCACTTAGTCATATTATTCCAGCCGCTGGGCAGGCCCAGACAGCCTGTGGTTTTTCTGGAAATCTGAGCTCCCAGACGCCGTTTGCACAGACAGAGGCAGAACCGCCTGCTCCACACCTGCCTTCCGTACCCACGGCCAGGCCGGCTGCGGCCCTCGCACACTCCACTCTGACCCCGCTCTGTCCGGGTCTTAGCTTCTGTGAGTCCCCTCACCTGCAGTCTCTTCCCCATCCATTTGCCTGCCCAAATCCTAGATACCCTTCCCTCTTCAGTGCCCCCTTGACCCCTCTATTCAGATCACTATTTCAGCGTGTAAAGAGCATTTTGGGGACAAGCACTGCTTCTTAGCTTGTGTCTGCAGAACGCAGGGGAAGGCAGGGTCACTGTGTGCATTCGTTCGTGATGTTGGCCAGACGGAAGGCAGTCTAAGTTTCCATCCATCATCTAACACATATTCGGCGAGATACTTCATGCAAAACTATGTGCTACTGTCTACTGACTTTATTCCGTGTCTATGGCCTTTTATGGCATCTACTGAGCACTCAGAATCTGGAAGACCCAAAAAAGACACCTTGTATCCAGGCATCGCAAAAACCGTGAAGTCTTCTTCCCAGTGACGGTCACCTCCCCGTGTTCCTTCTCCTGGGGAAGGGCAGGATTCTGCCCGATGCCTGAAGCCTAGGCCTTGTCGTGGCACGGCACGGATGTAACGGAGAAGAGCATTGTCACAGCAACCCAGGCTGCACTTTCCTGTCTTTTACCCTCAATCCTGTTGCCTAAACTGTCCCCAGTCAGCCCTCTCCTCTCCATCCACGTCCCCCCAACAGAGTCCAGAGCTTCAGGGCGGCGGCCCACAGACAGCACTGCACTCGCCTCCTGCTTTCTACCAAGTCGAAGTCCTGCTACTTCTGCTCAGATCGGCCTCAAATTTGTTTTCCACACTGCCAGCAGAGAAGATCTTTCTACATCATGCCTTGAACCTTCTTAAAAATCTTAGCTACATCAGTGGTCTTCAATCTTTCAGACATAACACCCCTTTTTTTAATACCAAACATTTTGTAATATCTGTACTACTCTTCTGAAATAAAATCTGTAAATCATATAAACCAACTACACATAATTTTTAAATAGCAATTACGATTGTAACTATACTATAAAAGGAAAAGTAATTTATTATAAAATAAGACCTTTTTTTTTGTTTGAGACAGGGTCTTGCTCTGTCACCCTGGGTAGAGTGCAGTGGCTGACTGCAGCCTTAAACTCCTGCGCTCAAGCGATCCTCCTGCCTTGGCCTCCTGAGTAGCTGGGACTACAGACACACACCAGGAGGCCTGGCTAATTTTTTCTATTTTTGGTAGAGATAGAGTCTCACTCTTGCTCAGGCTGGTCTCGAACTCCTGACCTCCAGCGATCCTCCCGCCTCAGCCTCCCAGAGTGCTAGGATTACAGGCTTGAGCCACTGTGCATGGCCTGAAATAAGACATATTTCAAAATGTAAAGTCTGAGCACCACTACCCTCTCACCTGGTCTTCCCCAACCCAACTACATTCCACTTGTACCAACCCCTCTCAGGTTCGCACCCCAGCAGCACTCCTTCCTGTTAGTTCTTATTTATGCTTCAAAATGTCCTCACAACCCAGCCCTGCTAGGCAAGACTAGAGTCCCTTTCCCAGGCTTACAAGTGCCTTGTGCTTTGACATCACAGTGCTGCTTCTAAGGCTTTATATTCCTAGTTACTACCATTTAAAAAACATTATGAAATTTTGTAGGCATATCAAAAGTAGAAAAATACAGTATAATAAGCCCCCATGTATCCATTCCCACCTTCCAGCAATTATCAACATTTGCCCCAGTGGTTTTCTATATCCTCTTCTTTTTTTCTTAATATTTTGCACCTAATACCTGATATGTTAAATATTTCCATATGAATCCTGAAAATAACTGACATGTTATTACAGACGCCACAGGTTATGGTGGGGGAAGGGAGGCCTGCAACTTCCATAAACTCAGGCAGTGGAAAGGGGCTTGTTATGGATAAAAAAAGACAGCCCTCTCAGGAAATCCCACAGGTTTTAGGTGCTCAGTGCCAGGAACTGCGGACAAAGATCAAATATTTTTTTTCTATCATACTATAGCTGGTATTCTTCTGTAAAGAAATAATTGTAACAATCGCTTTTTTTCTCACGTCTTCACTTTCTTCACTAGTTTATTTGTTGCACGCCAAGGAAAGGACGTACGAGGGTACTACCCGGGGCAGCTGGCAAGACTCCACTTGGATTACAGAGCAAAGCAAGCTCCCAGGTGAGATACCTTCCTAAATCTTCACTTCCAAGAATGTTACTGAAGTTAGAATGGTAAATGAAAAAAAAAAAAAAAGGGATACACAATTTGTAATAATACTAATGATGGCAATAATAATAAGTATTATTTAGTTGATAGAAACGAGTTAAAAAGAAATACACCCAACTGTTAATAACTTTTTTTATGAGTGGTAAGATTTTTAGCATTTTATTTTTAAAATTTTTTCTCTATTTTCCAGACTTTCTCTAAGGAGCATGTATGTATTACTTTTGCAATCAACAACAAATATAGAATTTTACTAAACCATCAAAGAAATTTAAGGAATACCGTGAGTTTAGAATTTCAACTTGGTCAAATAACTTAAAATTACTGAGACTCAGTTGTTTTTTTTCTCAGTCACATTATGAATTTAGCCTAAATGATTTCTGTTCTTCTAGGTGTGGTTTTAACAAAAAGAAAAACAAACAACAAAAACCATAGGCGCTTTTATCCTATTTTCTAGTTTGGATAGGCTAGAAACCACAGTAGTTAAAAGCAGCAATTTGAGTAACTTACAATTGCTTTATCTTTGGCAATTTTTATTCCTTCTCTGAGTATTAGTTGCCTTATCCGTTAAAGAAAATAACTGACGTAAAATTCCAGAATATAGTAAGCACTCAACATATGATTGCTATTATTTGAGTTCATCATCTAGTATATTTCACCAATTTCTTTTCTCATAATTGCCTTCAATATAGTCAACTCCTGATTATCCTCCATGCAAACAGAAGGGAGCCGTGGCATCTATGGTTTCAAACAGCATTCGTCCGAATGTAACAGATGGTCAAACTGAAGTAGCTTTAGAGGTCATTCTGATCCAGTTAGATGAATGAAACGTAGCCCAGAGAAGTGACATGTCTTGCCTGAGCTCACACAGTTAGTTGGGATAAAAGTGGGGCTTAAATCTGATTCCCAGTGGAAGGCTCTTTGTTCTAATGCAAATCCATACTATGTTAAACTATTAGGGCTATATTCTCTGCCAGGGAATAGACGAGGAAATGACAAAACCCCACTGCCAGAGATGCTCATGGCCCACCCACATAAAGGCTCCTGCCATGCTGTGGCCTTCGTGATCTCTGACAATTGCCTGAGTGAGGCTCTGTCTCAAAAACAAACAAACCAACAAACCCCAAACCACGTTGACCAACATTCTTATAGCTAAGTCTTCACTGACATCTCTATTGCTGGGACAAAACATATGCACATTTTTAAGGTCTTAATATAACACCAAAATTGTACCACTGAATATATATTTACATTCATATCAAAAATAAGTTGTGCTAGTGAATGTAAGTGTACTCCTACAAGTATATGAAGATATTTTGCCATTACATTTTGGCTCTCTACTTTTATCTTCCAAGGGTACCTATCTGAGGAGAGGTACTGGAAGGTTATAACTGACTTCAGGTCCATCAAACCCCAAGACGCACAATAGTGGTTGGTCTGGCCAAAAGAATGCACTGGCTCCTTGAAGGGAGCAGACGTGCATAGGAAGGTGACAATGGGAAAAGGCACCAGGGAGATCAGGAGTACAGGCAGTATCCATGAATGGGCAGATCAAGTGGAGATTTTGACGCAGGTCACCTTCTGTAACCTGTGACTGGGGAGGAGGGATGCTAAAGGGAAAAACAGAAATCTATTTGCAACTTTGCCAGGGCTGGCCTTGGAGCTGTGGGAGTCTTGCCAATTCTATTCCATCTTGTTGGCCTTGTAGCCACTTCCAGAGAATGCATTTCAGCTGATGAGAAAACGGAATGCTTTTTTCCCTACTGGGTGCTCAGCAAACTATTTCTATTTCCATTTAGACCACTCATAGACTTGACAATTCCATCCAAGAGAAAAAGTCAGTATCAGCCTCAACTAGACCAACAAACACTCTTTCGATATATTTGTTTTCGAAGACATGCAAAGCCTGCCGAACCGTGGTACAAAGAAACCACTTACCAAAGAGACTATGGTCTGCCATTTTACGAGATTGGTAAGTCAGGCTAACTGCTCTCAGCTCTCTGAGCTTAACCTTTCCTGGGGCACAGATCAGCATCTCCGATGGGCTCGCCGTCTCGCCATCTCACTGGGACCAGCCAGGCTGGGGGTATGGATCCGTGCATGTGTCTGGGTGCAGGAAGAATGCCGAGTGCTGCCTGAGGCTCCTGCCTCCCTAGCTCCCTGTACATGAGACTTCAGGGACGACAAGACGTAATGTCCTGGTCAGGAAGCAGGTTCATGTCTGCCCACTCTTCACTGAGCCCCTTGTCATGTGACAAAATCATTATGGAGCTTAAACATACTGTTGAGGGTACTTTCTTTTTTTGTTGTTTATTTGTTTTTGTTTTTTTGAGACAGTCTCTCTCTATTGCCCGGGCTAGAGTGCTGTGGCATCAGCCTAGCTCACAGCAACCTCAAACTCCTGAGCTCAAGCAATCCTACTGCCTCAGCCTCCCGAGTAGCTGGGACTACAGGCATGTGCCGCCATGCCCGACTAATTTTTTCCATATATTTTTAGCTGTCCAAGTAATTTCTTTCTATTTTCAGTAGTGACAGGGTCTCACTCTTGCTCAGGCTACTCTCGAACTCCTGACCTGGAGCTATCCACCCGCTTCGGCCTCCCAGAGTGCTAGGATTACAGGCGTGAGCCACTGCACCTGGCCCAAGGGTACTTTCTTATTCCTAATTCAACCACTTCGGTACTAGTGTTAACTGCAGTCGACAGCCACAGATGAACACGCACAGCCGAGCGTCGACTTTAGCCGACAGCCGTGATATGACTTTTCTAATTTTTCATTAATCAAAATAAAATTGTGAACATTTTAAAATAAAGTCATGAAAACATACATGCATATGTTACCTATTCTGATTTACGTGACAAGTAAAGCTGCCTGTAAAGTAAAACAAGCTTTCAGTGCTTTCAAGCTTTCCTCATCACTCAAGAGCAAAACAGATCCGGCGTCAATGCACGGCACAAACTGGTGCGGACTGTGAGTGCGGCTGTGTGCAAGGGTTCGCGGCCGGTGAGCACCGGACCGAAGTGGTTAAATGACTTTATGATAAATATTTGACATTTAGAGGTATGTTTCAAAAACTCTACATTCCCCTCGGTCGTTTGTCTATGCTGCAGCATGCGTGACTGTACAAAAAGGGACTGAGGCTCCCTAACAGATAGGAAGGACCCTGGGGTTGACATGAGGACACCAGTTTAAATAGTCCTGTGCTCTTGCTGTCATTGGTGCTTTGAATTTTAGGCTTTTTTTTTTTTTTTTTTTTTTTGAGACAGAGTCTCGCTTTGTTGCCCAGGCTAGAGTGAGTGCCGTGGCATCAGCCTAGCTCACAACAACCTCAAACTCCTGGCTCAAGCAATCCTCCTGCCTCAGCCTCCCAAGTAGCTGGGACTACAGGCATGCGCCACTATGCCCGGCTAATTTTTTATATACATATCAGTTGGCCAATTAATTTCTTTCTATTTATAGTAGAGACGGGGTCTCGCTCTTGCTCAGGCTGGTTTTGAACTCCTGACCTTGAGCAATCCGCCCGCCTCGGCCTCCCAGAGAGCTAGGATTACAGGCGTGAGCCACTGCGCCCAGCCTGAATTTTAGGCTTTTGACTGAATTACTTCATTGACAGACTTTCTAAATGAGCAAGCTCCAGCGTTTTAGGGGCTTCCACTGGGGCAGGCACATATTTCATTTTTCACAGCAGCTCTCCTAGGTAGGCGCTATTAATGTTATTTTCCCATTTTACAGTAGGGGAAGCCAAGTTGCAGAGACAGTTCATTAACTAGCCTCAAATCACACAGCTGGGAGGTAGAAGCAGAATTCAGACCCAGGCTGAATTTCACTTCCAAGTACTTGACTCTGAAGCTGCACTGCCGCTGTCACAGCTGTCACCTGTACAGCAAGTCACTTCCTTTTCACTTAAAAAAATATAAGGGAAGGTTCTACCCGTCTTTTCTTCCCAGAGAAAGGAGTGACAGCTCAGATGGAATGCCAGAGGCGGCGGCCTGGGCTGGGACCCAGGGCCTCAGGTCCCCAGGGATCAGCAAACAGCGGGAATCACAAAGAGTGGGGTGGGGGAGACAGGAGGATCTCGGGTGGGTTGAGCCAAGGATAATGGTGCAATAGATGAGGATAGGGGCCAGAGACTGACAGCAGGGGTTTGGGATGAGAGGTTACAAGTGTAAAGTTTTCTGGCCGAGAAAGAAACAGATGGCGAGAGAGAAAGAGTGGGGCCAAACAACGTGGGTTTATTTAGCGCTCCTGGGTGAGGTTCGAGGGCCCCAAGAGAGGGAGTCCCGAGAAGTCACATCTGTTTGAAGGGGGTGAGGCCTTTTATATCGTTTGGGCTGGGCTAGGGACTTTTGGTGGGAAGAGCCAGGGTGACCTTGGTTGGTCATTGAGAAATAGGAGGGGCTGGAGGTATCTGTGGAACCCAGGAGCCGAAATGTTCTTATCTGGGTGGACCTCTGGGTGTGGTTCTTCTCAGCGGGGCCTGGCAGTTTGTCCTTGGCAGGTCTGGTCTCGTGAGCCTTTTCTTTTTGATCTAGGGAGGGGAGGGGGCCCGCCACCAGCCTTACAACAAGCAGGGCAAAACCAGGTTCTGGAAGCCCAGAGAAAGTTGGAGCCCGAGAAGGGAGGGAGCTGAGTGACTGGGGAGGAGGCAGGGGCTGAGATTAGGGTCCTTAGAGAAGGAGGTGCTGGGCAAGAGTGCAGGGTGGCAGGAGTGGGGTCCCCAAGGGTGCCCTGGAGGGTGGTAATGAAGGAAGGGAGTTGTTAAGAGGGCCATAGGTTGGGGCTAAAGGAAGTGTGAGGCCCGGGGCGGTAGAAGCTATGCAGGCTAAAGAGGGGCTTCAAAGAGGTGGTTGAGAAGTGTCAGTGGGACTCCCGTCCTCACAGAACTGGCTGGGCCTCTCCTGCCAAAGTGACAGTAAATAGAACCTTCTTTGCAGTTCCTCTGCTATGAGGAAATCTTGTTAGACACAAAAGGTGTTCTCCCTTGCTTATAAGTTCCTTATTCTTTCCAAATCTATTAAACCAAGTGAATGTTTAGCAAAGCAATTAAATATTTACCATCTACTATGTACCCAGCATCATGCTTGGTCCGTGGCAAGTTCAAGCTGTGGTTTCAGCCCTACAGGCAGCTCACAGTCCAATTGGGAAGATGAGACACGACACAGCAACCTCTCAGGGGATGACTGAATATACCACACAGAGGCGCAGTTGAAAGATGAGATCACAGGGGCCTGGAACAGCCAGGAGAGCAGCGTGCACAAAGGGGGGCTCGGAGCTGGGCCCTGATGGGTCAGGTTTGCACGGTGGAGAAGAAACAGAGGACAGCACCGGGTGGGGGGCACTGCAACTGAGGACAATGGGGGATGGAGAGGCTTGTGGGAGAGTGGGGAGGACTCCAGCGATGTAGATGTAGGCCTGACTGGGGCAAGTGGAAAATAAAACGTGGACTGGCAGAGTAGGAGGAGAGAATGCCTGCAACCACAGAGCAGCTGATGGAGTTTGGGAAGTCAAATTTGGACAATCAGAGCCATTGGAGGATCATAGTCAAGGAAGTGACCCAGTCCGCTTTAGAGGATATGATTCCTGAAAAATCTCTTAAATCATTAAAGATGAAATTACATGAAATCATTAAAGTATTAGAATAAAGAACTTGGAATTCTCAGCAAGTTGGTTGAAGTTTCTCCATAGTTCTCAATTAATTCTTTATTTTTCAATCATGCCTTTTGAAGGAGTCACCACCACAAATCCACATGAACAGTAATTGTTCTTTGTTGAATGGCAAGGAAATCCAAATAATCATTTCACACATTCTTTCCATAGTATCCCCAATCTGTATAGCACATTTCAGGCTTGGTAACATCTGCTGTTCTCAGAACATTTCTTGTTGGCTACACCTGGTTTAAATATGTGTATAATTCAATTCTATTGTAAATCCTACAAGGATCACTAAGAGCTGTTGAGCAGGATTCCTTATACTTCTAAACTACATTAACACATTTCCCTGAAATACAATGTGATTCTCAAGAAAGCCATAGCTGCTCTTTGACTCGATAATAAACTTTGAGAAGTCATATGGTTACTGACTACAGACAAGGTCACACTTAATTTAGTTTGAAAATCCTCCAAAGATGGCATTTCCAGTCATACTTCCTAGGTTAATGAAATGTTATCCATTCTTAATATTAAGAAATGTTCATTTTATGAAATGCTATTAAAATGTTAAGGAAGGTGGGATAGAACAGTGAAAAGATTAGGTACTTTGGAGCCTGATAATTCTGAGTCAGAGGTGGGCTGCACCTCTCACAAGCCATGCAAATGCGGGCAAATTAATTAATTTCACAATATCAGTGTATTTCTGAGAGTTACTGTGAATGTAAATAAAGCAACCAATAACATAAAGTTTTGTTAACAACGCTATCATTGAAACACCTTGGTCTTTGGTTCATTGAACAATGATTATTGTATTCAACTCAAGCCCTTGAATTCTTACATTTTAGATAAGCAGAACTGTTAGCAATCATAGAAAAGAGGTTATAGGCTGGGTGTGGTGGCTCATGTGTATAATCCTAGCACTCTGGGAGGCTGAGGCGGGTGGATAGCTCGAGGTCAGGAGTTCGAAACCAGCCTGAGCAAGAGCGAGACCCCGTCTCTACTAAAAATGAAAACAAATTAATTAGCCAACTAAAACTAAATACAAAAAATTAACCGGGCGTGGTGGCCCATGCCTGTAGTCCCGGCTACTCAGGAAGCTGAGGCAGAAGGATTGCTTGAGGTCAGGAGTTGAGGTTGCTATGAGCTAGGCTGACACCACAGCACTCTAGCCTGGGTAAGAGTGAGATTGTCTCAAAAAAAAAAAACAAAGAAAAGAGGGAAAAGAGGTTATGGAATATAAGGGAACTCCAATGAGCATGAATTTAGGGATGGCAAAAAGTGAAGTTTATACAAAAATGATACAAAGTGGTCCTTTGATAATGTAGGAGTAAAAGGGTTTGGGGGTCTAGAATTAGGATATCAAAATGCAAATTTGTGATTTCATTTTATTTATATTTTTGCATAATTCAATAATATGCCCCTTAATCAGAAACTGAACCAAAGAGACATTTTAATTTTTTTCCATGTTTTAAATATATTCCTTTGTCTTAAATCCCATCGATTATTTTTGTTATCGTGTACAATTGTTGACGGGATAGAATGAGTCATCTCAAAATAAATCATTAATTTGTTTTAAATTCCAGGTTGGGACCAGAAATTAGCCACCGTTTCATCGAATCCTAGACCACTAATTCGCTGCCGGAGCTCTACTGTTGTGAACAGGGAAGTGGCTTTAAGACGTGCTTTTAAACTAAAATAACCATGGCATTCAAACAAAATGACATTTGGCATTCTTAGGCGACTCATTTAGACTAAGTTAATGGAAGCAGAACTACTTTTAATCTAAGTGTGTATAGAGGTGGCTATAATCCTAAAATATTTACATGTTGCACATTCTTTTCAGATTAAGTTTGTCAGCCTAGAACAGGAAATAAATATCCAGCCTTAAGAGAACCTGTCATATGGTCTTAGCCCCACTACCAGTCTTGTTGTTGATGCTGGCAAATCATCTTATATTTAGTCCAGTGGTTCTATGTGGGGTCACATAAGAATATAATTGCACCGGCTTAATAACTGCATCACTGTTGGGGGGAGAAAAAAAGAACCTTCAGGACAGAGTCAAGGAGGAAGATGGTTGATACCACAGACCCTTGAAGGAGTTCTGGATGCAGAAACTCAGGTATTGCTTAGGGCTGTAGTGAGATGTGGGACTGGTCAAAAGGATTAAGTGAAAGTCTGTCTATAGAAGAGTTAACACCCCTATCTCGGCAAGAAGCAGGCCTGACAACTAGGCAGCAACTCCTTAGGAAAAGGCTGGAGGATCTTCTCTAAAGAAAGAAAATGATCCTAAAGAAAAGAATCTTATATTCTGGCTGCTAGGCACACCCCCTTCCAGCATACTAGTTGGCTCTCTATTTATTCACTCCAAAGGAAGCCTATCAGTTAACTTCCCCCAAGAACGCAGAGTCTCATATAGCTTTCCATTGCCTTAGTCTTACACGTGAAGAGTCACCCCATGATCGATTACCAGATATTTGAAAAAATAATGCAACATAACATTATAAGTGACTCACACCTACAATCACAGTACTCTGGGAGGCCAAAGCGGGAGGATTGCTTGAGGCCACAAGTTTGAGACCAGCCTGGGCAACAAAGTGAGACCATGTCTCCACCAGGGGGAAAAAATAGCCAGGTGTGGTGGTGTGCACCTGTAGCCCTAGCTATTTGGGAGACTGAGTGAGAGGATTGCTGAGTCAAGGAATCTGATGTCACTGTGAGCTATGATTGTGCCACTACACTCCACCCTGGGTGACAGAGCAAGATCTTGTCTCTATAAAAGCAAAAAAACAAAGACCAAAATAAATAGAATAAATGACTCCAGGGGAAACAGAATTCAAGGAGCACAAAAGAACACAAAATAAACAACTTTTATTAGTTAGGGTTCTCCAGAGAAATGGACACACACACACATACAATTTATACATATGTGGATTTATTTTGATGGATTATTGGTTCATGTGATTGTGGAGGCTGAAAGTCTCATGCTCTGTCGTCTACAAGCTGGAAGCCCACGAAAGCTGGTGGTATGGCTCTAGTGTAAGTCCAAAGATCTGAGAACTTGGCGGGGGGGGGGGGGCAGAATGGGTAAGTCCCAAGTCCAAGTTTGAAGGCCCAAGAAGTAGGAATGTGGATGTCAAAGGACAGAAGATGGGTATTCCAGCTCATCTCCATTTCCCTTACAGAGAGGGGCGGTAGCACTTCAGCTATCACTTTAAGATGGTGCCCACATAACATACAGAACCATCTGTAAACTAGGACCAAGGCTTCTTTTCCTATGTCCACTGACTGGGCACTTGCCATGAGGCCACAGGTGCAGGCTGAGAGAGAGAAGGCAGTGAAACAGGAGTGGTGACTAGGGACATTCAGACCACTTCTTCATGTAACTTACTCCAGCTTTCAGGGCTTATTATGGCCTAATATGTACATAACACTTCTATTTGGTGATGGAATGTTGTGTTGCTGTACACATCCAACTTTATGAGTTGGTGAGTCAAATAATACCCAGTTCATGATGTTTTTAAATTTTTTTAAGAGGGTCTCACTCTATCACCCAGGTTGGAGTGCAGTAGTGCAATCATAGCTCACTGAAACCTTAAACACCTTGGGCACAAATGATCCTCCTGCCTCAGCCTCTCAGAGTAGCTGGGACTACAGGTACATGCTCCCAGGACTGGGTAATTTTTTTTTTTTTGGTAGAGATAGGATCTCACTATGTTGTCCAGGCTGGTCTTGAACTCCTGGCCTCAAGCAATCCTCCCACTTCAGCCTCCCGAACTGCTGGGATTATACCGGTAAGTGTGAGCCACAGTGCCCAACAAGAATGAGTTTTTAATATCTGCTTTTGACCCATAACAAAAAATAGATTTCAATAATGCAAAGTTTATAGTGAAGATAAGAATGTGGACTTTAAAAGCCCATTCAATTTCTATTAGAATAGAAATCATTTATTACATAGCAAATATAAATTATTTTTACATATAGGTCATTATTGATCAGTAGTGAGCTTATAGGATCACCTATATTATTGTTCTTTACTTACTGAGTCCACCGAGGCTGCTCCTATTTCAGAATTTTTCTTGAACCAAGTACTAATAAAAATATATAGTGAAGATAAAAGATACTTAGAACCTTTCAAAGATTCTATTTTTGATCTCTCCCTACCTTATCCCCACACACTGCAGAGATGAAGTTCCTTCCTATATAATAGTATTGACTATTACTTCTCTCACCAGAACAAAAACACAACACACAAAGCATACTAGAAATATTTGGTTCTTTTTAATCAGCTATTGATGGTATAATAAAATAAATTTAAATTATAAACATTTAAAATAGTTCATTGAAGGGTAATCTACAACACAGTATGTTAAGCCTAATTGTCAGAATAATATCTTTTTTTTTTCAGGAAAGGAGAAATAAAGGCATGATCGAAATTATGGCCAACAATTTGGGTTCATCTGGACACTTATAGATGATTTCGTAGGCATGTTGGCAGGCACAATGTTGAGAAACCAATCCAATAGATTTAGAAATAATAGTAAGATAAAAAAGAAAAGATATATTTTTCAGAGGTAATGTCTGAAATTAAAGAAAAATATCCACCAAATATCACAACAGATCTTTTAATGACTAATTACTTTTAACATTAAGATTGTTGTTTTGGGGGACATCTTTTCTCTTTGAACATTTAACTAAATGCCCAATGTATTAAATAATTTACAGAAAGAAATAAGTTCTGTGTTCTGTACAAATTAAAGGACCCGTGAATATAACCCCCTTCTCTCCCGCCCCAGCCAAAGCTCAATTTTGCAATGGTCTCAGCAGAAAATAAACAGTTCACAATTTAAACAAAATTTATAGCATTACAAAAGTTTACAGAACCCCTATCTTTTCATCATTTTTCTAACAACAACGAATACAATGACAGAATTGAATGATCAGAATGTAAAAATATATGTGCAAAACTGCATTAATTGTTCTTATCAGCTATTATAATAGGGGCAAAACCTAAGAACACACAATGACAATAATGAAGAAAAACTACATTAAAAGTAATTCTATGTTAGATCTGAAACAACAATGGATTATCCTATTACTAAACATTAAGAGAAAATGTGGCACCATGAGCAGCAGGAGCAACAAATGATTTGGCAATCATGCCAGCCAAGGAGAAGCTGACACTGGAATATGCCAAAGTTTACCTCCACAAGAGCCATCCATTAAGACTGGAAACAACTGTAGGGCTTAAAACTCACTTCAATGTCTTTATTCTTGAATTTGCAGGTCAGAAATGAAATATTTAAGGAAGTCTTTTCCCTCCCTCTCAAGGAGTGCTTCTCACGTTACTAGCAATCTTTAAAAGAGTTGAATCATAGACTCTCTGGATTTACCCACACCAATCCATTTAACTAGAACAAAACAAAAAGAATAAGAATAGCATTGATTCATTTATAATTTTCAATTTTGAGGATTAAGATAGGTGGTTCCCCACTTTTCTCAGCATCACCATTTAACTTTTCCCCACATGCCTTTTTGCTGTTTTCTATTCTGTTAGCAGACTCTGCCTATTTCTGCAGACAAGGTCTAAAACAGAGTAGTTTGCCTTACTGTTCCCTGTTTTAATTGCACGTTATTTTCAACTGCCTAATTCCTAATGACTAGAATACTAAAATATTGGCCCAAACAACCAGAGACCTAAACAGCCTCTGATCAAATTCCTGACAAGTAGGAAAGATAAGCTTCTTTGATAAGTGGATAATGCTAAAAGGATACTGAAATGCTTATGTAACTTTTATAGCTGAAAAAGGTAGAAATATCTAGAAGAGAATATGATTTGAATTTGTGTAGTCTTAGAAATTGCCCACTATACCAGTCTATGGGAATCTAATAACCCATATTACATGGTTTTAGATTATTTACAAAATTACCATGTTCCATAGGTAATGTTAAGATCAAGCTTTATGGTATTTTACAGAGGTCTTTGTTAGACTCACTGCTGTTTATATTTCAAAAAATATTAACAGCAATAAGCAAACATGCTTACTAAATTTGACATCAACTTCGGAGGGGCAGCTAGCAATTTAGAAAACATGAGTCATGTTTGAAATGAACCACAAATACAAAATCAGAACAAGTACACAATGGATTTTACATGGAAGATACTTCCCACCCACTTCACTTTTTCTCATCTTTCAAATTTCCATCAATGCAAATAAAAGGAAAAAGCAATGTGTTAAAACAATGACTTCACATAACTAGATATAGCTATAACTTTGCTATGTCTAACTCCTTCGCCATCTTGTATTTGTTTTTTTTTTTTTTTTTTTTTGAGACAGAGTCTCACTTTGTTGTCCAGGCTAGAGTGAGTGCCGTGGCGTCAGCCTAGCTCACAGCAACCTCAAACTCCTGGGCTCAAGCGATCCTTCTGCCTCAGCCTCCCGAGTAGCTGGGACTACAGGCATGCGCCACCATGCCCGGCTAATTTTTTATATATATATCAGTTGGCCAATTAATTTCTTTCTATTTATAGTAGAGACGGGGTCTTGCTCTTGCTCAGGCTGGTTTTTGAACTCCTGACCTTGAGCAATCCGCCCGCCTCGGCCTTCCAAGAGCTAGGATTACAGGCGTGAGCCACCGCGCCCAGCCTGTTTTTTAATATAAAAGTTTTATCCCTTCTTTATTCTTTCCTCACATGTTTCTTTCTAATAAGATCTCCAATTTTATGTACTTGTTATTTTCTAATGTCTATTCAAGAAACTCTCCCAACTCTCAAGGGTGATTTAACTCAAATAAAAAAATCCATAAACCAAAATTTTTAGTGGTGGTGAAGATACAAGAGGATTTGTTATTAAGGAGAAAAGAACGAGAACGAACATCACAGGGTAAAAAAAACAGGCTAACAGAATTAAAGACAAGGTCAGAAAGGGTGAGAGGTAATTTATTTTCATTTATTTTCTTCTATTAAAGATGAACACTGTATTTACTCTAAGGCATAAAATTATTATTTTATATTTTCCTGGGCATTTATGAAAATCATGAGCATCATTGCAAAGTAATAATGATCTTTCCTTTATTTTATTTTAAAGGCAGATAGCTAAATTAAAAGTAGAAAAGTAAAGAATGTTTACCTGGAATTTGAAGCTCGTCTTCAATAAATCGAACGTAATTTTGTGCATTAACAGGTAGGTCTTTAAACGTTCTTGCATTGGATATGTCTGTGTTCCATCCTGGCAGGGTCTTATACTGAACTTCGACTTTATTTAAGATTTCTTGTTTTGCTAAAAGTTAAAGAGTGTATTTGTTCATGTTATGTACTGCCTATTATCAAAAAACTTTTTGATATAGCACATGTTCACAATCTCTTATCAAAAATCCTTATAGCCAGATGTTTTGGAATTTAGAATAACTCAGGTTTTAGAAAGGTTAAACAGTGCATATACCATCTGGGATAGTATTCTATAATCAAATATATTTCTGCAGCAACACATGTGGATCATTCACTATAAGTGGATACAGATTATGTAATTCTAACATTAGTTCAAGTCACGTTTTGCCATCAAAGGAGTTTTGGTACCAAACTTAAAACTTCATTTTTAGAGCTTTTTGAATTTCTCTACTATCCATTAGAGATCAGCAACCACACAGAAAGAACTTGCATGCCTGCTCTCTTATGAGAGATCTTCTCTTATTTCAATTGAAATTTTCTGCATTATTCCACCTAACCATTTTCTCTGTATCACCTAATGGAAACTGAAAATATACTGTAGATGACTAAGAATCGTTTCTTTGACAGACAATACAGTGGCTGCTACAGTACATGGTACAGATTTCTCTTCAAGACTGAGAGCTAGGGGAGTTTTTGTCTGCTGACCACTCATAGCTCAGAGCCTCCCCAGGACTCACCCTCCACTGAAGAGACTGCTACCCTGGAGCAGCTCATATCTAATAACTTGTTGATGTGGGAATACAAACAACCTGGCCACTAACCTTAATTTGGGACCAGTCTGAAGGGCTATTCTAGTTCCAGAGCTCGCCATGGGATCAGCTGAAAGCTTTTTTTATGCAGTCTTGCCTAGCTAGGGAACTCAGTGTAAGACAGCTGGCACCAGGAGCGTCTGAGGAAGATGGCTCTCACATGGGAACTAAGAGGCTCAATCACTGACCAGCTGGCTGGCCATGAGGACTGTCATTGGTAGTATGCAGAGCATGGACAGCCTCTGGCATGTTGTAGAAATACAATTTCTAAAACTTTTCATGCCTTACTGGTGGAAAGTAAGGCACTGGCAATATCTGAGGCATTGAGAAATGAGCGCAATGGAACAATGGAATTGGATGGTTCTCGATGCATTCACGAACTGGAGAAAGACAACAGAAGACTAACAGCCTTTCATCAGTTTAAAGCAAAGTGTGAAAGTCAGAGGGCCTTCCTGGCAGCATTTAGGGAGCCTCTCATCTTCTGTAGCAGACAGCAGAAAAAGATGATTAAAATGGGAAAGCAATCATAGATTTAGCAGAGCTCCCATGACAAGGCCAGGGCCCTAGTTAGGAAAAAGTGGGACCCTGAAACTTTGGATGGAACAGATTGATGCACTTGAAAATCCTGTCACCAGATTCACTGAACCCTTTGGGTCTGCAGAGTGCCCTACTATTTCTTATTAAAGGCTAAGCCTTCCCATTGCTTTAAGATGATGCAGAGGCCTCTGCCTTGCAAGTCAGCACATGCCCATCTCAGATCTACCTTTACCTTTCTGCCTTGCTAGTGAATAGTATCTAAGGTCAGATCCCAACACAACCTGGCTAAGGAAGTGTGGGGCCTCTTAAGGGAAGAAAGGGACTATGTTCTAAAAGATCTGCAGGAGCAGGCCAACATTTACCAGTAAGCATCAAGAGAAAGGTAAAGAACTGGATCCTGAGGGGTCCTGGATCAAGGCGAACAGCAGGTGGTGGAACAAAGTTGAATCAGAGTGCATTGGTATGGGAGTATAGCACACCACGACACACGACAGAGATGATGAAAACATACTGCTAGGGGTGTTCTTGGCAGCTTCGAAAAAGTGATGAATCATACTAAGTGATATGCCAGAACTGCTGCAATACATGGTAGGAGAAATTTAGACACTCAGTGGGACTTCCATTTCTAGTCATGATAAAATAGAACAGTTCCAGACTAGCTCTCAAAATACATGACAGCTTTTTTTAGGAAGTTGACTATAGGCAGCACAAAACCATCGTCCCTGAGAGAGAAAACTCACAAGCATGTCCTGAAGTCACTGAACTTTCTGCCTAGGGACAATTTCCTGACCACAGTTCAGGAGTCAACAGAGAATGGCAGCTTCCTTGACCCGGGGATGTGGATATCTGGTTTCAGGGAGGCTGAAGCAGCTATAATCAGCAGGGTTAGGTATCAGAGAGGAGGGAGCTGTGAAGAGAGAATCCCCCTGTCCCCACTGCCAGCAGCCTGCATGAGAGTCCCATGGCTAAGGTAGGACTCTACATGCAACGAGTGGGATTATTGGAGGCGTACTGGACATCAGCTGCTACACAGTTGAGGGTGGGATAAAGACTCAGTGTCAAGCAGTGTGGGTGGAAAGGAAGGGACAGGACACACTGGAGCTCCAGCGCTGCTGAACTGGAGAGATTTCATTAACATATCTTGTTAATTCTCCTGGCATCCAGGTGAGACAACAGAAAGGCTGCTCCCTAAGAATAAAAACCATACCCTCGAGTAGAACCTACTACAAACTCCCCATAAGAGGTCTAAAACCAAGCTCTGCCAAAATCCACAGAGGAGAGTGAATCTAGAGACTGACATTCCAGGTTAGGAAGGTTTGGGAACATCTTGGGTTTTCCACATAACCACACTAACAAAGCATAAAACCCCAAGCTATACAAATTCAAGATAATCAGTCAATAATTCAATTGTCCCCCTAAAACTAAACTACATTCAGAAGAAGAAAACAGAATCTGAGTCTCTATAACATATCATCCACAATGTCCAATAACCAACCAAAAGCCATTAGCTACAGAAACAGCCCATCCAAACTCAAGGAAAAGAATAGTCAAAAGAAACCCAACTCAAGATGGCCCAGATGTTGGACTAATAGG